TGAGAGCTTGCATGCAAAGCTGTTTGTATCACTTGCAAATAAGCATTTATGGCAGCTTTTCTGTGTGTCAGTAGAGAGAAATAGCTCAGAAATAGCTCAAAGACACAAGTAAAAGCTGTCAAATTTGTGTCTGAAAGACACAAATAGCTGTCAATTGTTTCTTTGTTTGTTTGTTTGTTTACAAGAGGGCAAACAGGGGCAATACAAGCCTGGGATAAGGGTCAGAGAGAAGAGGCTGGGAGAAAAAGATAATGCAAGGTGTGAATGCAAAACAATTGCTGAGTGGGCTGTTTTGTATCCTAATAAAATATAGTGAGTGACAAGGGAGTTTTATGGTATAAAAGGAAAAAAAATAAAGGATACATGCAGTACTGAGAATGGAAGGAGCTGTAGGGAGGCAGAGAAAGGAAATGATCCTTTAGGAATCTGACACATGGACTGTAATGCTGTTAGTATTTAATATTTCTGGGTAGAAAGAAAATTACATTTTTCCAGTAATTTTGCTGGCATCTTATCTTTCCAATTAAATTTTAATAACAAATGGAGTTCCTTCAATGTGCTTCAGTCAATTCCATGGGCACATGTTATTCCTGTCTTAAATTCCATGTCCTCTACTTATGGGAAATGGAGAGGAGCAAGGGTTCAGATAATAAATTTGAATAATTGTCTCTTCATCAACTTCAATGCAGTGACAACAATTGACATCACTAGTAGCTGTGTCCATATTATTCATTATTCTGCTCTGTGTGGTTGGGAAAAGGGGGTGTTTCTCAATTGACTAATGGCTTTAGTAACCTCTCTTGCATATATATTTTCCATGGTTTCCAGAAGTCTTCAGGTTCCAAAATTGAAACCAAGCTGAAAATTCAGCTGCCAAAAATTGAAACCAAGCTGAAATTCTATTCAGGCCCTCTTCCAAATCTAGCTTCATTTCAGTATCTCCTTAGGAAAGGATAAATAAAACAGCTGCAAACAGAGCTGGAGGGAGGAAGGTGGAGGACCAGACTCAAGAGTGCCAAGCTGTGGGTACCCATTCCAAAAATACTTAGACAAAACCTAGAGAATACCTCTCACTTCTTCCCACCTGGTTAAAAATCTTCCTTTTGCCACTGACATATCAGACAGTCCTACAAATTATTGCCACTTTGATTTCCACTGTATCATTTCCATCATTTCAGCTTATCAAATAATTAATCAATCTTAATATTGGTGTGATAAAGCACATCTCTTTTTTCAAACATGTTCTTAGGATCATGGCATTTTCAGACGCTAATATATTAAAATTACATCAATACATAAATATATCAGCAAAACTTCTTTCTTTTTAATACAGATTTCCTTCTGAGAATTCAGCATCTTTTTCTGGATACATTTCTGTAATCATAAGGCTACTGATTTTAAATATCCTGAATTTTGATCATATGGACATTTTCCCTTGAGGTAGTTGAAGACATTTGTAATTGTCTGTAATTGTTTATGGATTGAAAGGAGATTAAGCTGTATGAAGAACAGAGAATAAAATGTTTTGTCCTCTGCAACACAGTTTAAAAGTATTAAAGTTCCTTATCAGGGCTTTTAAGAGTATATTTTATACAGCATTTTGCAACACTGAAATAGCTGAGACAAATGTAGAATTTAGTGAGTTTTCATGAGTCTGTGATTATTTGTAAAAAAGTGAAGGGAATTAAAAAAAAAGATGAAAAAAAATTTAAACCCAGAGATAAAAACCAAATAAGATTTGATGTCTCCTACAATAACAGATACAGGGTGATTGGATTTTGTAATGAAAACAATTTGCTCTGAACCTGAGAATTAATTCTTTGGTTACAAGGATGTTTCCAACAGCACTGAAGGACAATGCCAGCTTAAAGATTAGCCAATAAATATATTCTAAATATCTATTGTCAGTGCAATAAGTATGTGGTGTCACTGTCATAACAATATAAAAACAGATTAAACTTACATTGTTCTACAGCAGAAGATGCAAACACAATGGAAATGTGAACTACAGTCACCAAATGACAATAACCTAAAAAATCAGACAAAATTATTAGCAAGATACTGGCAGAAATATTGAACTGTGGATAAATAGTCTCATATCTTCTTAGTGAATCCCAAATTTAGAGATTTGATTACACAACAAAATTTGTTTAAATTTCAATTATTAGTATTATGGACAGGAGATGTTCTGAATTATTGAAATTTGACCAAGCCAGACACCTGCTTATGTAGCCAATAAATACATTTCATCACTATGGTTGCAAAAACAAATGCTGACTAGCAAAATGTGGCTAAATGAAATAAAATGATTGAGAAATAGAACGACACACGGTCTGAATTGCATCAGCCTCCAGGATGCTTGAGCAAAAATGGATTTAACTGGAGGAACTGGTGGAGTTTGCTGTCTTAACTGCTACAGCCAGATACATTTTATTCTAATTTAAACTGCAGGACCTAAGAGCAATTCCTACTTCCTTGATCAGGGACTTCAGTCCTTCCTGCCACATCAGAGCGAGCTCTGTTCTGAATCATCCCCTCCTGTAACTTCATTTCCATTGAAAGAAAAGCTAAACAAGTGTGCATGAGTTGAACCACAGCTTCATGAAATTCATCTGTCCCTCATTCTGCCCTTCCATTGCTCTTCATTTTCCTTCAGTAAGTCCCTTAACACTCACAGAAAATACCTTACAGTCAACTCTAAGTTACTCTATAACTAAAACAGACAAATTGAAAGCCAACTTGTCTAGATGTTGAATGTTGGACACAGTGCAGTGTTGTCAAATCTTTTTTTGATTTATAGATCCCTTAACTTTGATGGGAAGGACACTGTGCAATAAATCTGATCTACCGACAGCAGATTCTTGGTCCAAATTCACTGGTGGGCCACAGGTGGAACAAAATCTCATTTTTGCATAGCAGGTTCCAGAGTAATTTACAATTAACCTGAGGAGCACACTGGACCTCCAGTGCTTGACAGGAACTTCACCATCACCTGCAGCTTTATGGAGAGTCAGATGTTTTCTTTTGGGGGCAAATCATTCAGTAGGAGTCAAGGAAAGTTAAGTTGGAATAATGCGTGTGTTTTGAGTCTGACCCAAAACACACTGATTGTCAGAGAGAGCATTTGCCCAAATGTTCCTCTGCTAGCAAAGATAACTTTTGTAAGAAGAAACCATTTTAATGATTCAGAGTACAAATGGATTACATGAGGTCATAAAGGTATTTCCATGAGGTGCATAAAGATATGTCCCTTGCCTCCCCTGCAAATCTATGGCTCTTGCATGGCACAGCAGTGCATATTCAGAGCCAGACAGGCTGCTCACAGAGGAGCACTGCCATCCTCTATAACCTACAGTGGCAGGACTCAGTTTTATGTGAGAAAAGGTCTATTTAAAATCAGTAGACATGTACTGAACCCAGCACTGATCCTGAGGCCAAGGAAGATCTCAGCAGTCACACAACTCCACAGGACAGGGGATGGGTTCTCTGTCTTGTAGTGATATCACACCCAGGCTGGATTTCACTGTGCACCCAGAGTGAGGTAAATATGCACTTTAATTAAAGGCAGTGAAGTGTGGTGGTATATATAAAAAACCCCATCTAATTTAAATATTTGATTTAAAATTTAGAAACATCTTGCTGAAAGTAGACCCTGAGTTTCTGCTTCCTGTAAAATGATGTATTCCAACCCTGGGGGAATTAATTATTTTAATTAAATTCAAAAACAAGTGGAGAGTACTGGAAAAGAACCCTCCTTTTTGACTCAGTTTGTGTCTGTGCTATTAGAGGATGAGAGAAGAAAAAGTGACATAATTCCTTAGGACAAGGACAGGTAGCTGAGCCTTTCCCAGCTCAGAGGCACCTGCATGCTGTGGATCTCAGTTTCCTCAGAGTGTGTCAGCATCCCAACCAAACCCCATTGCTATACAGTGCTTTCAGCCTGTGGTATGAGATCACAGTTTTCTCCTAACTTAAAAATTGCTATAAATGCCCCATGAGCACCATGGCTGCTTGCTTTTTCAGTGGATGAGTTCATCCCTAAGGAATGTCTAAGAGCTATAAATAACCCTTAACCACCTCATGACTGAACTGGTGGAATGAGAGCTGGCAGTCAGGAGCCAATGCTTTCACTATACACAATAAGTATTCTTTTCAGTTAAATAAACTCCAAATATTTCAGGACTTAAGGCACAGAGGCTCAAAAAATTCAACTTCAGGACAGCCCACTTTGGTAAATAATTACATTTTGGAAAAATGCAGGATAAATTTCATGATGGGCAAAAGTGTGTTAATTTTCACAGACATTTTAGATAAGCAGAGGAGCTACACCATTGGTGTCAGAGGGATCTAGACTTGAATATGCCTCAGGGGATGGAGCCACTGCCATTTTTGGCCTTTGCCATCCCACCAGAAGTCCTGAGCAATCCCTGCATTCCCAGAGCCCACTGGAGTAGCAGCTTGTGGCAGGAGCTATCGAACAGGTTTAGCTGAGCTTGGAAAAACCACAAATCTCATCTGTTTGAGATCAGAGGAGCTGATTTTGACAATTCCACACCACCCACTTTAGGAGTTTATCCAGCCTTTCCAAAGGCCAAAAAAATCCAAGGAACGAATTTCAATCCCAACACACAGACCAAAGAGAACTCATACTCACAAACCCAGCCTTTCAGAATGTTGTGTCTGGGAGTATGTATTAGCAATTTAAGGAGTCCAAGGTCCCAGATCAAAACTTTACTTCCCTTTATCCCCAGATTGCAGGAGTGCAAGAGGCAAAGTCTAAGTGTGATTGTGCTCACTGGGAGCTCTACTGACCCTCAAGCAAACAGGCTCTTGAACTGAAGTTAAAATCCTGAATTAAAACCAGCAGCAGAACAGAGGCAGCCAGCAAGGCCAGGGAAGGAGATACAAGTTATTTACATAAATCAGCTCTGGAAGGAGTCAGTAAAACCTAAAATGAGAAACATTTTATGTTCCCTGAAAGCAACAGGCAAAGCCAGGTCTAAACCAAAGTGGAATCCACCTTTATTCAGCGCTTTGAGATCTAAATGGGAGATCTATAAATATGGGGGTTCTTCTTCAGAAACAATGAGAATCAGTATCCACAATCAATATAAAAAAATCTGTCACTGCCACCCATCAGAAAAACCCAAATACTACCAACAGCACATCCCCCCAAAAAGATATTTCCTTTGAAGACAGACAAAACCAGGTTGTTATTACCTTTAAAAGCTGAGTCACACCATGAGGGCAGTTCTGGATTGCAGCACAATGGGAATCCCTCCCAGTAGAGCTCTGAGATGGGATTTGATGGCTGCTAATGGTAAATAACTTTTCTGGGGGTAGATGAGTATAGGATGATGTTCAAGCTTATTATTTCATAGCTCATGGATATAAATTTTAGGTAGAATAACTTTAACTGATTGATCACTGCATATTTGTGTTATCTAATATTTTGTTTCTTTTAGGGGGGATCACATAAATATGAATCTTTCTCTGAAAATAAAAAAAACCAGTCCTTTGTAAAAAGAAGTGTGGCATTGTCACAGATTCTCTATTTACTTGGAAAGTATAAATTGATACATTTTTAAGAAGAATCTTTAATTTCCTAGGCGAGCTTTCGCTTTTCCTTGTTGCTTTAAAAAGGGAAATTGTGAAAAACTTTGATCTGCTGGGTGATTTTTCTTGAAGACAAAAGTTCTTCCCTGGTAGGGTGGTGAGGTCCTGGCACAGGCTGCTTAGAGAAGCTGTGGCTGCCCCTGGATCCCTGGAAACATCCAAGGCCAGGCTGGATGGGGCTTGGAGCAGCCTGGGATAGTGGAAGGTGTCCCTGCCCATGAGGGGAATGAGATGAGCTTTAATGTCCCTTCCACCCAAACCATTCTGGGAAGCTGTGATTTAATGAAAAGACTGAATAGTTAACTGGTAGCATGATTTTGGAAAGTTTGATGAAATTGGCTTTCCCATTTATGCCTTTTCTTCAGCATTTGTTTTATTTTAGGACGCAGAACCTCTGTTAGTTTCACAGGCTTGCAAGAAGTCAGAGATGATGTTTTACAGCAAACTTTCCTCCAAAGGTATTAATGAGCTTAAAAAATTCCACCCATCATTTTTTTTTTCTTCTTTTGCTCCTGGTCATCCTAAAGTCAGGGAGATTAAATATTTTTTCTTGTGTTTCTTAGATTAATTTGAAATTCAGGTTTTCCAGCTCTATCACAGAGAAGCCCTTCTTACTTCAGCCTTGCTCTCTTGCTTGTCTTGTCCTTCTAAAAGACTGATGAAATTACTGAGTGATGTTGATTGGCTGCTGCTCAGCTGAACTCAGGGACACAGGGAGAAAGTGCAAGTGTTCCCAAATGAAAGGAAGAGAAGGTACTTTTAAATTATACAAATAATCATCATTAGTTGTGTTTCCTGTCAGCTGCTGGATCCAAAGGCTTCTTTCCTCAGGAAGGTGAATGAAGAGGGGAAGAGTGAGGGACTCTGACAGTTCTAACAAGCCAGAATTAATCTAAAATTATTTTCTTCTCATCTTCAAGAAAATGAGGCCCACAAGAGAGGTGTTGCTGTCCTATAGAATACATCACAACATCCTAACTCCTCCCTGTTTTGTCTGGAGAGAAATTCTCATCTGCAGTCTGAGAACTGTGGCTGAGAATCTGAGCTGGAGCTTCCATTTTCCTCACCTGCTTGTGAGCTTTGCACCCACAACCACAGTACATTATCAAAGTTGTAGATATGCAGGATCAGAGGACTCCATACAGAGCCACTGTGCTGTAACAGCAAAGCACAGACACATTTTTGCAAGCTGTGTGTCCTGGTTTGCTAAGTAGGCCACGTTTAAAAATATTATTTTGCATATTTACAAAGGGCTAGTAGATGTAAGCTAATAAGCCCCAAATTCTGAAGAAAAGCAAGACTGACCACACCAATTTGGAGTCTGGCCAAAGCCCTAAATGTCACGTTGCTCTCCTGAGTCTGTAACCATCTAACCTCCATGAAAGCAGGGGTATTACAACCTCACCAAGTCCATGGAGCTCTGCCCAACAGATCTGGCCCTTTGATTACATTTATTTTTTCACAACCACTGCAAAATTCAAGAACTAGTCCATGCATTTGATAAGAGGCAGAAAAAAATCAGCATTCAAATGGTCAGAGCATCAAGTCACAGCTTTCCAGAGGGAAATCCAGCAAGACATGGGCTGGCCAAATCTTGGCTGTGCATGAGGTCACACCAGAAAGATTTGTGATGGAGTTTTCAATCCAATCATTCTTAACATTTCCAGGTTCCTGTGGATATTCCTGTGAATTCCAGCCTGGTTTTTTAGGCAATGAGATGAAGGGCATAAATTTACCTCATCCTGGGAATGTGGGACAGTAACAAGTTCAATGTTTGCCTCACACTACTTACAGCTGAGTACCAGGCTACTGCTAATAAGTGTTGGCACTGCTTTTCCTGTTTAGACTGGGCTAAATAGGAATTTGAAGATGCCTGGAGGAAAATGTGCTCCTTTGCCACGTTCCTGTTTTGGACAGGAGCAGGAGACCACCAAGAGAAGAGATGGGAGGCTGCACAAACAAGGTTTGTGACTCGATAGCTTGGCTGGTCACTTGACTGGTGCCTCTCTCCTCACACAAACCAGGCTCCATTCCAGTCCCATTTTGTGTTCCACTGCAAACTCTGCAATCACATAAAGCTGCAAAATAGGCTTCCAAATCCCAGTGTAGGCTTTAGAAATGATGATAAGGCTGTGGAGTTAATTTTTATTTACATAACATTTCAGGCAATTGACATAAACATTTGTAAGTTGTATGGAGGAATGTCATGGTGGCTCAGACGGCTGTATGGACACATGGACAATCCTCCAGACAGATTTAAGGGCATCTGCTGCTACTTGCTCAGTCCAAGAGAAAAGCACAGCCTTCTCTCTCCATATTTTTACATGTGCTTGGCTTTCAAACATGTGACCAGTGCACACAGACCCAGTGTTTTGTCAAAGGGAAGAGAAAGGGACACATTCCACAGGGATTTCATGGACTGTATTCATTTCCAAACCAAGCCTATTTAATTAGGGTGAGAAGGAAAAGGGGCAGGAAGAATAAACAACACAGGCAATGGCAAAAAAAATTTACAATAAAATATGTTCATTCCTTTAAGCAATGGCCACCAGGATCAACCACACTACACAAATACTCCAAGCCATAGCAGAAGGGGAAGAGGATATTAAAATAAGAATCAGCCACACACTACCTTTGACAACAGACTTGAAAGAAGAACCAAAGGGGATCACACCTCACCCCTCTGGCTCAGAGAAGCAGGGCAGCAGCAGCAGCACAGCCTCCCTCTGGCACAGTGCTAAATGCTATAAGGCAGGAGTCAAAGTCCAATAAAACAGAATGCCCAACTGGGCTGATCCAGATGAGAGCTCTTCTGGGCCCTGTGTTAGTCTTGGCATCCTTGGCAATGCAACCAAAATGGAGAACTCTTCAATTCATGCTGAGCTCACAGCAGTAGAGACTTATTTTAGGGTAAGCACCTGCCCTACAGACCAGGGAATCACTTCAAGAGGAGTAGGAAGACAATTCAGCAGGATTTGTTCAAGTTTATGAAAGCAGAAGAAAGGACAGATTTCCTACAGGGGGAAAAAAAAAGGACAGCATGTCTGTATGGGCTCTGGGATCCTCTCCCACTATGCAGCTCCGAGTTCTCTGCTGATGGCAGTCCCATGGGGAAGAAGGGAAGGAAGGAAGGGCAGCTCTGGTCTCCTACAGCTGGTGGAGGGTCTGTAAGAGCATGTGGCGAGCAAATGAACAGGAGTCAAGGGCACGGTTGGGTCTGTGGAAAGAAGGGAGAGAGAGATTTAAAGTACTGAATTTAAGAATGGCTTTGTGTCTGCCTTTGACTAAGCAAATAAACACTGTTTCCAATGCACTGGATGTTTATGCCCCAAAACCTACAGATTTTGCCCTGTTACCTTTTCCAGTACCACTCCATCACTGCTGCCCAGATCACTGCTTCCCATTCAGAGCCTGCTGTGGAAAACTCTCTCCTGAGAGTCCAAGTCAGGAAGCCAATGGCCAAGAATCAGAACATTTATTTCCATAACTATAAACAATCTGCTACTGACTTTTATCTCTGCAGCCCAGTGTCTCATTCTGGGTACAATGATGGAGGTGGAAACCCCCTTCCCTCTCTTTTGGCAAAGGGTTTTTCCCGTAAAGTTTCACTGTTTGGAGCCCCAAAACACAGGAGATGATCCTGTGAGGACTCCAATCTTTCCTCACCAAGTCATCTGCAAGCTATCCAATGATGACTCTGGTCTCAGGACTTTTAAAGTCTTTAAAAGAGGCAGCATAACCTCCTGTTACTCTTCCCTGATGTCAAGTAACACCTGACTGGCTTTGCTGGGCTGACGCCATTTAGGTTTTGCCTTTTTCTCTTTTCTATGTTCTCTGTAATCTTCACACATGCATTTGCAGCTCTGTGGTCTATTGTATTAGTGACCAGTTTTCCCAGTACTTTTTCATAGCCTTTCCTTAAGCAGAAAGACAAAACAAATTCCAGAGCTCCAAGCCTCAGGAGGTGCAAGGCTCCACACTATCTTGGTTCTTCCTGGGAGCCAAGATACATTTTCATGGACAAAGCACAGCTAGTGCTGAAGGGGGAGACTCCAGAGAAGGGGCTTAACCTGGGGGGAATTGCATCACCACTTGTCCTCCTAACTGGGGCTTCTTACCAAATATGCTAGTTTTCTAAAACCTATAAAATGTACTCACCCCTGGGGAGGGGTGGACTTCTGTGGACATCTTCCCATAACTGCCTCTGGAGGTCTTCAAATAAAGATTCCCTGTTATATTAGATTCCCTTTTATATTACCTCCTTACTAAAATTATCTCAAGTTTCATTTCCAGGTTGGGAAAAATGCAGCAGGGTCACCTTTCAGGGTGCCTTAAAACAGCCCACAGAACATGCAGAGCATCACCTGAAAGGGGCCAAGACAGACACTGCAATAGCTAAGTCAGATTTACACAGAATAACCTGCTCCCTGAAATTTAACCATGGAAATACACTCACAGCAGGGTTAACATGAGGATAAATCTCTGTAATGTTTCCATTGCCCCCCAGTAATATATATTTCTGTTTCTGCAGGCTAATTGCTGGCTCAGCATCACTGAAACTTTTACCAGTCTCAATCCATACATTAGGGAACTTCCTCCAAAGAATTTTAATCCAATATTTTCCATTGTTCTGAGAATAGAAATCGTTCATTTTACCTCTCTCCCACCTCACCTCAGCAAAATAACCTTTAACAATGCACAGCTGTGAAGCCTACTCAATTTGGGGAAAGGGGTGAGCTGAAATAAAGAGAGGAATTTCTAGGAAGGAGCAAGGAGTTCACCTCCAGGTGTAGAGCACAACCAAGAACTGCAGAGGTTGTTTGGTTCTTCACTCCATGGCTGCTGCTCTTTAACAGAAGCACACCCTGGAGAAGACTTAACCCTTTTTATTCCTCCCGAGACCACTCATACTGAACACACAGTGTCACAGAATCACAGCTTGGAGCTGATCTTCAAAGTGCTGGAGATATATTTCAGCCCTCATCTCTGGAAGACCCAGCCCTGTTTGCAATGAGGGAGCTGGCTCCATCCAGGCAGCTGCCCATTTTTGGAACTAGAGAACCTGGACCACTGATGTTGATCACAGACAAGATCCCTCAGCCCCCTCTCCTGACACTAAGCCTCCTCTAGCCATAAAATTCTCCTTATTTGCTGTGGAGTTACCTGCCTGCCCCTCTGTGCTACAGACTGTTGGAAGAGACCAGTGATATGATGCAATTCAACACCAAAGAGCAACATTAAAAAAAAATACCCAAAAAAACCAACCAAACACAAACCCATCACCTCCAGCACATCACAGGTGGGCAGGCAGACATCCACATACTTTCAGTATTTCCACTTAAAAAATTATAGAAAAGCACATGTGGATTCACAGCACCCTCTTGCGTCCAAAAAACCCAAATAAGGTTTGACAGCAAGCAGAGTAAGATGGATGCTGTTTACAGTCTGTATCCAAAATTCTGTAATTATTATGGAATAGAGAACACTGCCTACAACAACAAATTGTCACAAAAGGAAGGAGGTAAGTGCCTGTTCCAGAAGCCCCTTGCAGTGAAAGACAGCAGAGCTCCAGCCTAGGCAGCTACAAGAACTTTACAGCTCTAAAAGCTCAGAAGAGCTAAATGCAAACCAAAAGGAGAAAAAAAAATAGAAAATATCACAAAAATGCATATTAGTTTTCTGCAAGTGAAGGAATCACAGGTTTGACAGAGTGAAATTGGATTTGTTGCAGAAACAGAGGCCAGATGAGTTCTGAACATTACTAGGTTAACCAGGCAGAGGTTTAATTTTAAGATTGCAATTTTATTCTGACTGAATCCCAAGAAGAGACAAGGGATAGAGGTTAACTGAGAGGCTGTGTGTTGGTGTTGGCTGGGATAATTTTCTTCACAGGAGGGGCTGTGTTTTGGATTTGTGCTGGAAGCAGTGCTGCTAACACAGGGATGTTTCAGTTGCTGCTGAGCAGGGCTCACACAGCATCAAGGCACTTTGTTTCTCACCCCATCCCAGCAGCATGGAGCTTTCCTGGAGATGGTGGAAGTGACAAATTCCTTGTTGTGCTTTGCTTGCAGATGCAGCTTTTGCTTTACCTATTAACCCACCTTCACACCAAGGCCCAAGTTTTCTCACTTTCAGTCTTTCCCTGCTCTTCCCCAGCCCACTGGGCCGAGAGTAAATGGCTGTATGGGGCTTTGGTGGCAGCTGGGGTGAAACCACACCAGGCTGTTTATCTGGACTGGGGGGTTCTTGAACTGTTTACATTTACCCAGGCACAGATTTAAGAGCTGTTGTCCTTGTTCCCTTAAGGGAAAGGCCTATGTTCATATACCAGAGATAGATTGCTTGTATCTAGTATGAACTTCACTATGCAGCACAGGACAAAAGCTTCCCTTTAAAATCACAGCTTGCAGCAAGATTGTAAAGCAGCAAACCTCAGCTCCAAGCATTTCATAGCACCAGGGCCAGTGGAGGCTTGGATTAGCACTGGTCCATACATAGGAAGGCAGGAAGATCTGCCTTTCACTAAGGGAGGCTCTCAGCTCTCACTCAGCTTCTACAGAGCCTATGAACAGTCTGAACCTTCCACCAAGAGACTCTCCCCTCTTGTTCTTGTAGTGAAATGCTGGCTCTGGCTTCAATAGGGTTGTTGTTGATGGATTCATAAAGACCAAAATTTTACTCTTTCTTTAAGCAGCTACAGCTTAAAAACATTTTCTGAGAAAAGCCTACATACACGTGTCTCCCCTCTTCCTGTACATGTGCCTTTTCTGAACAAAATGTGTTAGGACACTTAGAATTAAGAGGCTACTCTGGGCCTTGCTACCTGACATAAACAATTAGGACAGTCAAATGCCCCAAACCAAAGTCTTTCTCCTGTACTCTCAGCTTCCAGCAATTTAAATTCCATTTTGAGGGCTGGGGCTTGATGAATAAGCAAGAGCAAGGCATCAGTGTAGGAAAGAGCAGAAATTCAGTGATATGGCAAGTCCTGGTACTTCTTGCTTAAACCTATAATGGCTGAGTTGGAGGAATACTTGTTCAGTTGGCAAAGCACATGGTCACTGGCAAGGCTAAGTGTCTTAACCTGATCAACACAAAGAGAGGAGGCAGCAGGCAAAGTGTTCCACAAGAAGGGCCTCCAGTTAGCATTTTCACATGTGTAAACAAGATGCTTTATTTTCCAAAACTGACATTAGTATGGTTTGTGTCCATATCAGTTTTGACAGCTTCAGCCTCACCAATGCTTGGAAAAATTCTTTCCCCCCATCACAACCGGGCCAGCTTCCAAGCCCAGTAGGACCAAGCCAGACTAGCAGTATCTGACTGCATTCCTATTCTCCATGTTTCATACTGACCACAACTATCTGATGCCTCCATCTTTCACCAGCAAGGGATCCTCAGCAGCTGCTGCCAACCCTTTTACCATGAAATTCAGGAAGGTTTAAGCCTCATTCTGGAACCTGCTCTCACCCTGCACAGCACATGGTCCATGCTGAGCCAACCACCAAGCTCCAAACAGATCTCAGGCCTCTGCTGTTTTGCCTGGGTAACATTTTTGGACTGCTTCTCCTCTGACTGTTGAACAGTAGTATGCAATCCTATTGTAAATCTGTTTAGTGGGGTTTTCCCCCTAAATATCAATGCTGAAGGTGACACTGATTTAATTCAGTAGAGATACGGTTTCCATAGCCATTTAAGACATCAAAAAAGCTAAAGCTGGTGGGGGCAGGGGTTGGTTCTATACCTCTTGTGGAAGTAACAACGTTCAGTACAGGCAGTCAGTACAAGCAGCTTCTTCAGTACTTATGCTTCCCCATTCAGTTCTGAGAAAAATCACTAACTTTGTTGCCATCACAGCAGGAAGTTCCATTTAAAAACAAATTCAGTCTTTGTGTTTTGCGGTTTTCATCTGCCGGTGTTCAGTGTCACACAGCATGACAACTCTGGCAGAGCTCTGCTGACCCTCTGAACTCTGAAGGAGGACTTGGAGGGCATAGTTAGATCCAGTTCACTCATGCAGTGGCCAGAAACCCAGCAGGTTTCCTTAAGCTCAAAACAGCTCTTCTGTGAGAGGCATGAGCAGTCCCTCCTTCAGAGCCACTTCCTTGCAAAGCCAACTTCCCACTTTTCCCTCTTTGAGTTTTTTTTTTTTAACTCTGAACCTCACATACTGCAGTAAACAAGATAAAATAGAGGCCTATTAAACTGTTAATTCTCACTTGCAGAACATTCAGTGGGCATTCACAACAGCTTACATGTAGCTATTAACCCTCAAAGAGTTGCACAAGCTCCCACAGAGAAGACTTCATGGCAAATACAATACTCACTTTGTAACAAAAGCTGAGAGAACTGGGGCCAGGGATTTAGGGAAATAATCCTGCTGGACCATATGGTTCAAAGTCATAAGAATACCATAGAGACTTGGTACAGTTTTGATCTTCTCTTCACTCTGAGAAATGGACAAGAAATCAGACATCAGACAAAGGGGATTTGATTTAATTCACAGACAAGGAATTCTCTGCTGAATGAAGTGCTCCCACACCTCTCACTGCAGGAGAGAAACCTGGTCACTAGATTAAGTACAAGACAAAGGTAGCCAATCCCATAGCCTCCCAGCACCTGAAATAATGCATCAAGAATATTTAAGTACTTATCAACTGACAGTAGTACTAATAGGGAAAGGGAGTAGTGAACCTGCAAGTGAAACAGCCAAATCTTCTCAGAGGCTCTGTGTCAAAGTGTTCTCCTGAGGAATTTCACGAGACTTCAATCCATAAAGAATTCAGTTGCCTTAACAATTTTTATTGTATTACTCTGTAGCTCATTTTTATACCACCTCCAGCTCTTTGACAGGCTCCCAGAACGTGATGCAGTGTTCCCAGAACTGCTCTCACAGTTATGTACAAGATAAGGCCAACAGTCACCCCCTTGCTTACATGATGCATAAGTTATTCTTACTCCTAATGGGATGTTACCCTGCATGTCCCAACTCTTACATTGTTTTCATTTATTTCTCTACTGGCATTTCAACAAAACTCCTCACTCTGCAAACAGGGTCCAGACCTGTGTTCCTGCTCTATGACCTTGGAGTTCACACTTTTAAGAATATCTCTTGCTCACATGTTTCCAGCTACACAGGACTGAAAATGGAGTCTGCCCCTTCTCCACAAGCAGGGGACTGGGAATGAATTAGGCACATCCCAGATGTGAATCAGCAGGCTGATCGTCCTGGGCTTTAACCTCAGTGCCACTTCCCAGCTTGAAAGAATTCTTCAGGAGCACAGGTTTGTGCTTTGTGCCTCATGCTTATTGCTGTTTTCCATATGGGCAAGAGGTAGGTGGCAGTGCCCAAAACAGGCATTCTGCAGAACCAAATGCCACCTTGGGTTCCACTGACCTTTCTGGGAAGTGAGAAGCTCAGTGCTGGTCCAGTATGCAATGAATATAGGGAGAGGCAAAACTGATTTTTAGGAAATGAAATCATATCCATGCATGTCAATGAGGGTCTGAATGCCAAGCTGGATAGTACCAGAAGGACATTCATAAACCTGCTTAATAGCAGGCTGCTGTAGCAGATTATGGCTTTTCTGTAGTTTAGAATTGTCTTAGTCCAAGTTTATATTCCCAGCTTCCAGGCCTTAAGGCAGTGAGAAACACTAACCCTTGTAGCACAAGCAGGCAAAGGTGTTTAAGGCTTTGCAGAGAGAACCACTCCACAGTCACCTCACTGAAAATAAAGCCACTAATTCTATGAAAAATCACAGGCTTCCTACTGACCCTCCATCTTCTCACAAGGAGTTTATTCCTTGCAACTAATTACTTAACACCAGCATTTGGCAAAGAGTCTCCAAAGCATGAAGTTGAATGCCACTGATCTGGCATGAGTAGATGATACACATTTTTGAGACGTGTTCTCAAGAAATGCCCTAAAGGACCCCAATAACTACTAACACTGACATGGCTTTTATAGACACCACAGTCCAGCAGCTGCATTACTGCCTTACCTGAGCCTCCCTACCTTCAGGGAAGGACTGAAAATGCAGAGCACATTAAGCAGGAGATGTACAAAAACGAGACACATCCTTCATCCTAATGCAACCTTGCAGGTCCAGCAGAAACTGCAAATTGCAGACTTCCATTGTCCCTGGGCATCAGGCATGCACAGGCACCCAGCTGCTTCCATGGCAACATAATTGCCCAAAATCCTGCCAGTCTGGCCTTCAACAGCCTAAACAGACCATGACTTAACTCTTTCCTGCTTCCTCACCTTCAGCAGTCCCATGTGGACCAAGAGGTTTGAGATGAATGCATCTGAATTAAATGTGGCAGAACTGAAGGCTTTTTTCATCAAGGCATCTAAAGAGATAAGCACATTGGTATAATCAACACAAAAAAAGGACAATAATGGATTTTAGGATTAAAATAGATCATACAGAAACTCAGCTGTTAAATCAGTTTTGTGATACAGTATCTGTTAAGATTTCATTTGTCTCTATAGCTATAAGCTCTGAAACATTAAGACAGATAAAATACCTTAAGTATAAAGAAGAAAAATCAAAATGTAAAACATCCAGCAAAACACACAAAGCTCACATGAGAATTCCCACACTGCCAAGCTTCACATGCAATATCCCCCAGTCCTATAGACCACCAGCTGCTCTGCTCAGTGCATTTGAGCATGCATGCTACGTACACATACATACATATAAACATGCATACAAACATGAGCAGATGAGCTAGAGCTCATCAAGAGGTAGAGTCTTGACTTCTTAAAGGCCAGCAACAATTCACCTTTCATTTGAAACCACAAACAATGAGAGAACACAAGAAGAAAGTTTGTTCAGCTGTTTTCTGGGCTCCCTCAGGACCAATACTATGCCACAAACAATGGGCAAACCAGTGCTTTAATCTCTCATGCATACAAGGTGGCAAGGCAACCCATTTTTGACCTCTGACAATTCTGTTTTCTTAGAATGGGCACAATTCACTGCAGTGGCTGTAGAACAGTGCCAGACATTAACCAGGGCCCTCACTGTCAGCAGATGACTGCTTTTATGGAAAGAAAGTAATTGCCAGGTTCTACCTTTCCTGAAAAAGCAGGAATAAATATGTAAACAAACAAACTTGAGACAACACTAATATCCTTTGTTCCATTTTTTACTAGAGACCACTCCTAACAGGCATGAGCCAAGGTGCAGTAACTCAGTGAGGTGCCACCTGACTATTTTTCACTGATTCAACTCAATCAATTGCAGAGAGCTATTGCGTTACTGTTTGTAAAACAGTTTCACCACATCTGCGAATTCCAAACTAGGGAAATGCACAGTACACCACTTTAAGTGGTCTTCAAAATAATTGATCCAATTCTTTTGCACAATGATGATGGGTAGCTCATGTGTGGGAGAATTGAACTGCTGGGAGATTGGAAAAAAATGAAAGGCAGTGGCCAGAAACCCAGGATTGTTTGGAAATTCCTATTTCCAAACAAAACCATGAAGGGATATACTAGTAGTCCACAGACTAGTTAGACCTAACCCAAACTACTACTCCAATATAGTGTGAGAAATGGTCCTTTTTTTGAAGATTGGTTTCTGTGTCTTGCCCCATGTTGGAAATCTCTGCTTCCTGAAGAAGTTAAAAGATACGAGACATCAACTAAAAGGTGTCTCTTTACAATCTCATAATACTACACTAGGGAGGCACTTCTTGCAAAACACTTTTTAAATAAACAGCCTTGTAAAGGTAACTGGCCTTAAAACACAGAACTACTGGCTATGGACAGCCCAGCATCAAAAAGATGCAGTAAGGGCAGCCCTGGGCCACTACAACAGAGGCTTTGGCACCACAAAATCTGCCAGGTTCAGAATGAATCTTCCACTCTACACAACAGCAGGGCACAGCTTGGAACTTTGTTATCTGCCAGGGACAAAAAGGCCCAATGGCTTGGCTCACAGGGGCCCTGTCCACCTTGCAGTGGTGTCTATGGCACTGAACCAGCTCACAGCACAAAGTGAAGAAAGGCCCAATCACCTGTTGTTTCATGCACTGCTGTTTTCACTGGGGCCTCATCTTTGAAGACTGAGGATATCCTCAGAAGGGTTGTAACTACTTTCTCTACATCAGATGTATCTGTCTGAAAGAGGAAAAAAATAGGCATCAGTTAACTGCTAGACAGCTACACAACACTGAACTCTGCTAGGGCCGTGGAAAGAATTGCTCTTCAGCTGACTGACATCAGCTTTGCCTTGGCCATATCACAAGGCACAAGCAACACAAACACAATTATTTTATGTAGAAGCTCTGATGCCAGTTTAAGAATTATCTGCATCACCTGCTTCCATAAGGGTCTTTGGGATCACTGAAGAAATCTAGGTCAAGTTATCATCTCTGGCAATTAAACAATTTTGAGAGAAAAATCAAGCCCAGAGAAGCACCAGCTCACCCACCTGCTGAGCTATCAGCACAGAGCACTTTGGTCCTAGTCGCAGCAGCTTCTCTGGTGATGGGAAAGCAAGGAACGTGGCAACATCCACAGGAGGAGATGGCACTGGAGTTGAAGCCTGAAACAGGTGGAATACATCTCAAGTTTATTCTTGGAAGTAAATAAATGGGTTCAGCAAAAGCAGATGGGGCAGCTCAGGGCACAGCTATACCAGGCCAGAACCTGTTTTGTTTGGAAACAGCCTGAGGCTGACCTAAGCCCAGAGCTGCAGTGGCCAGGATGTGCCAGCATGAGGGCACAGCACTGCATGTACAAGGTCCCCACCACTTCCTGAACATGGGAGACTTGTTACCACCACTACTCAGCCCTTCCCTCCATGCAGGGGTACAACAGGCCCACTTTAACAAAACACACTTCAACTGATCCACTTTATTTCCTGAATGTTGTCTCCCTGGTGCAATAGTGCCAGCCCATGCAGGAATGTGACTGCCTGTCAGCACTTCAAGTTTAGACTCCACAGTCTCATTTCCTCCTTTACTCTTCTCCAGCTGATGAAACCAAAATCCATCTGGCAGTAAGCTTACCTGTGAATCAATTATCTTCTTAGGAGTCAGTGACTCCTGCTCTTCTGCTCCTCTCTCCTTCAGCTGTTGCTGTTCCTCCTCCTCTTCCTCCTCCTCATCTTCATCCTCCTCCTCCTCCTCCTCATCATCCTCCTCCCCTTCATCATCACTAAGGTTAGAATGTTACACATTCCATTAATTACACACCTGGAATTCCTGTACACTAGAACTCAAAACTGTTCAAGAAAAAAAGAGCAGCCTCTCCTCAAAGTCCCACTGCAAGAAGCACATGCCACCTACAACACACCAAGAGGACACTCAGACATCAGTCACCCAGCTGAGAACAGCAAGAAAAGATCAAACACAATCAGTTACTTATGCTAAGGTAAGTCCATCAATGAAAACAAAAACAAAACAAGTTTAAAACACATCCTTGGCTGTGCTCCACACTCAGATCAACATCCACCACCAATGAGTTCTTAGTTTAAAATGAGATAAGTCAATGAAAGTGTTGATGAAAATTGTGAGAAAACTTGTGATTTAAACTCTGGTACCATGCCTACCTCAAAGATCCCAGCACTGATGCCATATTGAAGCCTTCAAGGATCTCATGGAGCTGCTCACACACCTCTTCTCCCAGACAGTTACCTAGATTGACAGAGGAAAGGGAGTGGACTTGACAGATGCACACAAGTTTGTTCTTGAGGATTTACCTGTATATTCTTGTCTAGCTCTTGTTTCTGAAATCAGTTACATGCCATTTCTGCACAACACCTTAGAGGCAGCAACACAAACTGCACTTATCACAGAGAATCAAACGATGGTTAAACAAATTTCAGCAGCATTACACAATGGTTGGAGCTGAAAATCCCCTAATGCTTCAGAGTTTGAGAGACTTGCTGTTATTTCTCTAAACAACTCTTGTTCTTAGTGATTCTAAAACAAGGGCACACAGCACAGCACCAGTGAAATGCAGTGACCCAAGGTATGAAAACCAAAAGCCAACAAAGGCAAAGTTCTCACACTCTTCTCTAGAGCTGCACAAAAGGTTTTTGTTTACAAGTATGAAGTATCTGAGATAGAACTGAAAAATTCAGAGTTTTACTGAAAACAGGTATAGGTATTAGCCTAATCTCTCCACCTTATCAGGTGTACCAAAAATGCTTACCAATTGACTGAGTTCATGGATTAAGAAAACTTTCAAGATCTAACTATTTCCTGTCCCAAGATGATACAAGTTCAGCTATTGAGTACTGGTTTTTATATGCTGACAATAGCAAGAATAGAATACACGGTTCTGTCAACATTCTTCCTAGTGGTTTCTGATTGGAATCAAACTACACATACTTTGATCTAGCAAACCTACATACCATTGAGATCCAACTTCTCCAACTCTGTCTTATCTTCAATAGCTTCAGCAACAGTCAGAGCAGCATCTCGCTTGATCTCACAGAAAGACAAATTCAGTTCCTAAAAATGCAAAAGAACATTTTGTCTGCAGAATTCCTATTAAAATTTATCATATTCATAAATTTAATGTCCTCACAATTGTCCTGGAAAGACCCATTTGAAGAGGCTCCCAGCAAAAAAGAAGTGTTATTAATTGAAAATAAAGCCTGACATACTCCTACCTCATATACTTAAAAGGGGAATTTTGAAACATACTGGTGGCTAAGAGCAGCACTATTAAAGGTGGCAATTCTAAAATACCTACAAATCACTGTGCACCTAAAAGGTGCAGACATTTCAGTCCTTAGCAGTCAGCTGACTAAAGATCTTCACTTATCAAGGGTCTCAAGAGCACTCCAAAACTCCCACTCTGCTAAGTCTAACAGAAGAAGGGCAGCTACTATACTGAGCATATTGCACATTTCTTTTGACACCTCAGTTGCATGTGAAGGCCTTCAAATAAAAAGCCATGAGTGGTACTACTTCTGACAGAGCCAGCCAGCAGAGAAACCATGTGGACTAGTAAGAGTAAAGGAATTCAACAGCCAGACACCATCCCCCACCATTCCACATTGTGCTCAATCAATCCCTTCCTGAGAAGGGATTGAATATTAACAGGAGAAGGGAAGCAGTCCTTGAACAGAATGAATCAGCTGCAATTGCTTCATGCTACTTTCCCTTAACCATTTCTGCTCTGGAAAAAATTACTTCTGTCTGTTCATCTCAATATCCCATTACTTACGTTTGCTTGGGAGATTCAGACAAGTTCCAGCTGAACCAGCAGAAGCCCAAGCAAGGGATCACAAACCACAAAGAACCTGCTTCTTTCTATACCAGGTTCATACACACAAATAGGTATATAAGGTTAATTCTTGTCTTTGCAAGATTAGGAAATCACATGTTCAGCATCTGTGTCAGGGTAATTATGACTCATGGCAGGTGTTTCTAAAGATCCTAGTTTGCTTATGTTCTCAATTCTGACTTCAGCCTATCCAGAATGTTGTCAGATTCAAGTCCTGTGCAAATACTGATGTAGGAGGCTGTTGTATCACCAAAAAAATAAAAATACTTGAACCCTTGATTGATGCTCCAACAAAGAAAAGGCACTAACTGTATGAGCTATGAAATGCTGAAAAGACAAGCTGCTCATGAAGTCCCCTTCATGTCAGTCCCCACTCTTGAAGCTCTGGGAAGTTCTAATAGCAGGTACTGCCATGATCAGATTTCTTGAGTAGCACTTGCTGAGCTGAGCCAGCAGCAGCAAAAAGATGAAACAAAGACTAAAGAGATCACTGGTTCACCTCCACATAGCACAGCCCTCACTGGATGGTGGGATGCCACTGACCCACAGCACAGCCTCTTGGTTTCAGCTGTGAGCACAGAGCCTGCATGGGACTGAATCCTATCCTAAAGTAATCAGTAGCAGTAGGAGAATGAGCAGAGAAACATGAAATGGAAAACTTGGCATTTTTCAAAGAGCTGAAGAGCAAGCAGACAATACCTTTAATTTATGAAGCCCTTCTTTAACAGCATCAGCAATGGCAACAGCGCCCTTGGAACGCACCAGGCAGTCCCCAAAGTTGATCACCTCAATCTGACGGAGCGCCTTCAGAGTCTGCAGAACAAGACAGCACAGATGTGGAAGTGGACATGCAAGTAAGTGAGCATCCTATTCCTTCTGGAATGTCCTCTTTCCTACTGCAACAGGACATGGTTGCACTAATCCAAAGGTGCTCATGCCAACCAGACTTGAGACAAAACCCAAAACAACTTCTTAAAACAACTCACGTCTGCCATGGCCACAGCTCCTTTCTCCGTGAAGGTGTTGTCATTCAAGTTTATAACCTTCAGCAGTGGGTTGATAGCAAAGGCCTGTGCCAGTGCTGTTATGCCAGGATGGTTGATTCCATTCTGTGGCATATGAACCTCTTCTAGAGTCCCAATGATCTGGGAAAGGATGTAGACAAAAAAAAAGCTTTTAGAGAGCATTCAGCTTCAATTCAACCTCAGCTCAAGAGCATGCTGCTCCACTCTTAGATTTACTTAAAATTGTTTTGAGTTTCAAAACTCCATTGGTTTTTCTACAGTGAATTATTTACCAGCAATTCTATCATAAATCTAAGTGAAATCACAGACACATGGCAAGTGCCAGATAAATACAAAGCCCTGATTCAAAGAGACACGAGTATCATTGTCCTGTGTGCCTACTCTAAAGAACTTATAACATGAGTTCTTCACCAGTGGTTCAAAAACACTGAAATAGACCATACAACATCACTTTAATTTTCTAATTAAAATCTACATTTTGCCCTGACCTGAGAAGCAAGCATGTAAGAAACCCAGTACAAATATTGTTTATGGACTAAACAGCACATCACATAACACAGTAATTAATCCCACTTAGGTAGTGCCATTCAATCTTGATTCTCCACTAATCACATTTTTATACAACTCTAGTATTTAAAAAGTCTTATTTTGGCCATGATTACTGAATAATCAAAACCACATCTAGGCAGTTCTTTACAGAAAAAGTCAACCTGTAACCTGTGATATCATTGTCAATATAGCTGACAATATGCATTGTAATTCAGAAGTCACTTCTAGCAAAAACTGAAGCATGAAGAGGGAATTAGGTGGCCCCAATCACAGTGAATTGTTTTCCTCCCACAAAAGTGCAAGTGGGCCAGCAACAGCTGGAGAAAGCCAGGCAACACTTCAAGCTCTGACCAGATGATCCTAGCAAAAACACCAGGCTGCTTTTGCCAGAGGACTGAGCAAAGCAGCACTCATGAGAACAAGCTGGGATACCCACCCCAGTGCCAGTCACCAACCATTAGCACAGAGAGAGGAAAAGGAACAGGACTATTAAATTACTCAGGAGATGACTATTTCTCCCTCAGGTAACTACTTTACACAGCAACTAGCTATGTGTTTGGAAATTCAGGTCACAAAAACACTCAGTCAGCAACTCTAATTCCACTTGTTGAAGACTCCAGTTCCAGCAGCAAGAAACATGGTGACTTTAGTGACCAGACCAGCAGCTCCTGCCTCCTAGCTGAGGCAAACTCTCTGTGCATCACCTTTAATACCAGCACTGAATCATACCTTGCTCAAATTTGCTGCCAAAGCAGCTCTGGCTTGATACTCACCCCGAAGGCTTCAGCCAGGGCAGTGGCACCATCATTCTCCAGACGATTTCTGCCAGCCACAAATATTTTTAAAGCAAGAGGCTTGCCCTGGGCACTTGATTTCCTGTGACACTCTTTCAGAGCAGCTGCCAATATCTAAAGATAAAACAAGCTGCTTATACTCTCCTACCATATCACTCTACAGGAATCCTACTGTGTTTCATAGATCCACCTCTTGAGAAACACTTTGGGCATCACTGACAGGTACCTGTTCCTACAACAGGTATACAATAAAACTCCCTATCTGCAAAACTTGCACATTGGTCTCAGGAAAGAATTGATAATTTTGCAACAGTAAAACACACTGAGCCATCAAGAACATTTTGCTTCTAATCAGGCAAGCTTGTATGGGTAGGAAGTTGACCATGAGCTACCAATACACACTTGAAGCAAAGGAATTCTACTGGGCTGCCCTGGGAAAAAGCATTCACAGAAGTAGAGATCCTTCTCTGCTTAGCCCTGTGAAATGCATCAAGCAGTGTCCAGGTTCCTACATGGATTTACTGGGGCAAGTCCAGCAAAGGGTGCCAAGGATAACTGAAGAACTGGAGAATTTTACTCACTAGGATAATACTGACCCCTGAGATTAAGGCTGGAAAGAAAAGGCTGTGGGGGACATATTACCCATGTGTAAAAATAGCCAGAACAACAAGATAAGGAGAGAAGGTGGTACAAAGAAGGCAGAGTCAGACAGAACTGCACACAAAGTGCAGAGAAAACACCACTTTAACACAAACTCCCTTTTTTAACTGTGAGGGTTGTTCAACACTGGGCTAGGCTATTCATAACGCTTGTGAAGTCTCCATATTCAAAACCTGACTAGAGCAAGCTTGAAGAACCCGGTGTACTTGTAGCTGCCTTAATCAGGGGAGTTGGCCATCACCAAAGATTGCTTCCAACTTCATTCCCAAGAGGAGATAAGCCTTACCTTGCCACCACCAATGCCCATGCCACAGTTATTGAGCTTGAGTTCCTGCAGGGTGTAGCATGCAGGGCTCTTCAGCAGGGCCTCAAAGCCCCGCACACCATCAGGCCCAAAGGCATTGTCACTCAGGTCCAGCTCCACCAGCTGGGCTCCAGCAGCTATGAGTGCATCCCCTAAAGAGATCTGTGAGGAAACAGATGGCCGTGGGAGGGAGGGAATGGATTAACTTTTAGTGACAGCATCACTGCAGTGGCTAGGTATGACAGTGATGCTGCAAAAAAAAAAATTCCACTCTGAAGACATTCTGCAAAGCTGCATGGGGAAATAAAAGTCTACTACTAAATCCAGAGAGGAAGTTGCACAAATTATGCTAAAGATAACCCTCAAGACTCTATCCCATCCCTTTAAGTCAAATACTCTTCAAAGTGAATTTCCTGCTCTACACTGCTGAAAGAAATACTGTTTTCATCAATGTTGAGTTATGTTCTGGCTTCACAGGACTCGAGGAGATGAGGAGCTCTGTAATGGTCTTAGAAGACACAGTCATATGATTTACTTGGAAAGCTTAGCTCTCACTTTATCTGTTGGGTCATGAAGATGGTTTTTCCCAGTGAAAAGCTCCTTCACCAGCATGGACTCACATTTAACCTTTAATCAACTCCTCTCCATCTCACACAGAAGAGCAGAAGAGAACCACTCACCTATTCTGAGACATTTAGCACTAACAGCACAGAGAAGGATCAGCTCTGTACCAAAATGCAGACTCCCACAAAAAGCATGACAGGTGAGAAAAGAGGTTATATTAGTTAGAAGTCTCAGATCTAGTTTTTACTTACCAAAGCAGGAGGGATCTCAGACCTTAGCCTGCCTGTGAACATGTCACTCCAATGACACCTCTAAAATAAGAAGCATACAGATAAAACCCACTAAAATATTTAGGTCAACTTAGCTGTAATAAACATTTACACACACAAGATGCTTTACATCACTGGAGACAGCTTAATGCTGTCTCCCTTCCCTTAGGTCGTCATTTGATTGTACTAAAGAGCTGCAGGAACCACTGTTACAATCACTTCACTTGCAAGGACAAAGTAACTGAAATTCACACTATAAACATTACAAGAACTCTTGTTTGTGTTCAAGCTGGAATTATTTTCTGCTGAGAAAATTGCCACTTAAAAACCAACAGGAAACAGAAGAATACATTAGCAATGCAGATTTGACTAAGGTATGAAGCACAACAATCTGAACTTACTTGAAAAGCCACATTTGGGTGATTAATACATATCAATGTCTCATAGCACTCTCCTTCAGGGGACAGTGTAGTGCCTCTAGTAGCACAGCATCCCCTTAACATTAGGCTAGAGCAACAGTACGAAAACATAGCTTGTGCAAAGATGACCCTCCTGTTGCATTTCCTCCATTATTTCCTCTCTACTCAGACATTCTCTGAAGACTCACTCCTCAGAAGACTTGACTCAGTTTTTCAGAGAGCTTCATTTGAACTTAGTCTTTTGTTGCCATGGCTTTGTTTACAGATGCTGCCTTCAATAAAGACCCTTCATCACACAGCTTCCCAGCTTTAAGATTGGAAGCATTCTACACAGGAAGCATTCTAACAGGAAGTTAGGAATGCAGAAGGTATCCCTATTATCCCAAAGTCTCCAAGTAATGCTGTGTTTTCCTAAGATTGCTCTTCCCCCTGGAAGAGCCACCAAGCAAGCTTCAGAGGTAACTCAAGACAGGTTTCTGCAGGAAGAGCCTAGAGAAGCCTTCAGTATTTCCACATCATTTCTTCCCCTTGACTACCCCCTACTTAAGAATCTCACCTTGAGCTCACTTTTCTTCTCCAAGGCCTTGGCAATAACCTTGGCTGCCTCCACTCCCACTGTGTTGCCTTCCAGGCGCAAGGCTTCCAGGCCATCAAACTCCTCAATTTGCTTGATCACATCTTCAGCTGCAAGAAGCAGATAATCTAGTTGGTCTTTTAACCATTGTCTTGTTACCACAGTAACCCTCAGATCCAGTAAAACTTGCTCAATCTCTAGCAAAAACAGCTAGAAGAAAATCTGAAACAGCAATGGGAGGAGAGCTGAAGTGTCAGCTCACCAGAAAGGACACTCTCCATTCCCTATCCTGCCTTCTCATAATTCTACTGTTCTATTATATTCTATGTTTTATTCTGATAGCCATCCTCCTATTTGCAAAAGTAAGTTTCTTTACTTCCCAAATAAAATTCTTCTGCCACTCAGCACATGCATTAAAAGCTAGAGTGAATGTCCCTATAGAAGTGCAGAAACTAAGTTAAAAGCTGATGAGCATTGGTGTCACACCAACAGGAAAAAGTTCCCACTGACTGGCAGAAGAAATGTCTGTTTAGCCAACATATCAGGGTGGAACAATTTAGCTCCACAGTGATCCTATGCAAGGCAAAGAAGCAAGCTGCAATCTCTCCTGCCAATGGGCACTTGCTATTGCTCCCAAGCTCCAAGGCCTTTCCCCATAGTTCAGTGCCTTTGAGCTGCTAAACCAATCTAGAAAAAAGCTCCACCTTTGGCATTAGCAAAAGGAAAAAAAAAGGCTATATAGTATATATATATATATACTACATATATATAATTTGGTATATACTATAGCAAATAACCTCTCTGAAAAACATGCTGTTTTTCTTGCATGGCAGAAATGTTGATCAAATACATTTAAGTCTCTGGAGAAAATGTATTAGCAGCCACTGTAAGACTTATTGTGAAACACACATACAGCAACAGGGCAGAAAGAAAGTGAACTATTGCAGCAGGCTAACACATCAGCTCATTGCTCTGAGCACCTATTGCTCCAAGAGCTATGATAAAACTCATTTACTGTTCTCAAATGGAGCACTGACTTCTAATGCCCAGTAACTGTCAAAAGCACTTAGAGAGAACACCAAGAATACAACACCTGCAAACCAGGCACCCAAACCCCAGTTACAGCAGCTGCAGCACTGCCAGGGCACCAGGTGAAAGCAGGGTACCAGAAGGGGAGGAAAGATCCCTAGCAGGAGCAGTTGTAGCTGACAGACCCCTCCATCAGAGATATGTTATGACAACTTGTCCATGCAGGATTAGCAGAAAGTTTAGCACAAGATTTGACAACTTCAGGGAGATGCTTTCAAAGCACATGGGTATCTTCTCTTACCATCTTCAGCTGTGTTGAGTTTAAGGCTCTGGCCTTTGAAGCTCAACTGTCCACCACCCACACTGGTTTTGGCAAGTGACTCAGCAAGTTTAGTGATGTCTTCTGATGCCATTTTCCCAAAAGTTAAGAACTGTCAATTAAAAGAAACGGTCATCATAAAACCTCTCAAACTACAATACATAATCTATACAAATAACCATATTTATTTGAACACTCATGTGGTTTTTGTTACTCAGATATCTAATTGAGTTTTCAATGTCATTTCTACTTTTCCCCAGAGCTCAATTAAGACAGCTAAGCTAGATTAATATTCCAAAGCCAGCCAGTCAGATGGTGCTGACTCTTCCAACACTGACAATATACTTCATAAATAAACAGTAGGTAAAACTATGGATTAAGGCCACATTAAGACATTATCCTTTGTGCAAGATTAACAATTGCAATGCAATATTCCTCTCATTTCAACCTCCATCCTATAATTATATGTGCTGCATGCTTCCCCTGCTCTCTCATTCTAGCAAGCTGGAATGAACACAGCTGCTTTTCCTTTTCAGTGATATTCCCAGAAGTGCCCTTGTCAGCACAGTTCCAGAACCACCGCGTTGCTGAAAACACTGTGTTGTGCTGCATACAAAACTCTCTCAGCTTCCTGGGTGCTCTTTCCTTTCAGATGTTCCACACAAATTGAGCACACATTAAACAGGATGATCTTACACTTACAATAAATTAGTGAACATCTAGCCTTGAGACAAGTTTGAAGCCAGCCACGCCTGGTAGCATCTGCATAGCATTATTTAATGAATATTAATCACTGTCTGAAGGAACTGGCCTGCATCCATCGAGCAGGATAAACAGAGTGCATTTCTTATCCCACTGCCTCTGTTGGGATAAAAGGCTACACACAACTAATGCTTAGAAACCACACACTTAGACTTTAGATGTCAGAAGGGATGAAGTTCCATTCCTCCAACACAAAATCGGTTCCCTTCCACTCCTGTCTGATTAGAAGTCACTCCACACTCTTGTAGCTGTTTGAGGCCAACAGTGCTGGTTTTAAAATATCCCCTATACAAAAACTGTATTTTCCCCCACATACTTTCCTCCTGATACCCATTTGTAAAGCCTCCAGCTTCCCCAGAGTATGACTTCTCTTCAGAGGTCTTTAATTTTAATATCCCTTTTGGAAACAAGGGGTGAAAATCTCCAAGGCTGAAGAACACAATTTTTTTAGGATGACTAGCCTCTCAAGTAGGTGCTGCCACTAGAAAGAAACCTGATGCCTAGTGAGGCTACCTGGACCAGAGGCTAGACAGTGTTAAAGGAATAAAGCAGGTATTTATTAAATGGCCTTCAAAGGATACACCTTGGGCAGTACAAGAGCCTGGCCATGGCTCCACCCAAGAGGGACACCCGGTCACAAGTCTTCCCACTTATACTGTAAGTTTTGGTCCATTTACATATTGGGGTTAATTGTCCAATTACAGCTTATGAAGTTCCATCCTCCCAGATTGCTCTCCTCAATTTGCTGTTGTTTACACTTTTTGGGTCTGAAGCTGCAAGTGTCCTTGGTTCTGGGGCTGGAAAAGGATTGCTTTGCCTAACTGCCCTGTGAAGAGAACTTGCTGACACTTTATACGAAGCTCAGAGTTACACACTAAGGCAGTACAGAATCTAGAAAATATGAAAGCTAAAACTTAAGGCATCAAACCCATGTAACTGACTCCATTCCTACCAGACCACCCAGATACCAAACCCATGGACATTCCCTGCCTCTGCCAACCCAACACTGAGAAGGAAGAAAAAGAGGACAGCCACCAAACCATAAAGGCTTTACCAGACAGGAACAGAAGTTAATATCTGCAGAAGTTAGTCTGTCCACCTAGTTCAAATAACAACTTTACTCTTAAAAATCAGTTCCATTCTACTACGATCATCTTCCTTACAGATGTTCACACCCTCCCAGCTTCTCTTTCCCTTGAATCTCCTTTATCGTTCTTCACCTTACACACAGACTACCTCCTAATCTCAACATACAAATCCAGCATCACATCCCGGAGCATGTTTTACAGCACATGTCAGCCACACCCAACTGTCCACCTACCAGAGGTCTCTTCACTGTTAAGTCTTCTGCAGAGAAAGCCTGGGGGGAAGAAGAAAAAAGGAAGAGTTAATCTGTTTGGCAAACACAACCAAGATCTGAAAATGCCTAAAGACAGGCTTCCTTTTCACTTAGGGTTTGTATGAAACTTTACTCTTCCTGATGACCAAAAGTTAGTTCAACACTTTAATTATAACACTTCGTCGACCCCAACAGCCAATACACCGGCTACCTGCAGCTCACCCAGCCACGGGGCGCTGGCGGAGCGGGGTGACAGCCGAGGTCCCCGCCCCGCCAGCCCCCGCCAGCCTCGCAGCGCCGCTGGCTCCAGGGGTGCCCAAGGCTCCTCTCCTCCTCTCTTCCCCCGCGGAAGGGGAGCAGCCGAGCGCCGGCCGCACGCTCCCGCCCCACGCACCGGGGCAAAGCACGGCCGGAACGCCGGATCACCCTTCCCGCCCGCGCGGGGAGCGCGGAGCGGGAGCCGCGGCCGGACACGCGTGACGCGAACCCACGGGCGGGGACCCCCGCCTGCGCCTGGGAGCGCCCCCCGCAGGCGGGGCCGAGGAGCGCGTCAGCCCGCGGGATCGCCTCCGCTCACGCACGGCCCCTCCCCGGCCGCTAACGGCAGCGGCCGCCGCCGCTCCCCTGCCCTCACCTGTTCGGGGGTTCCGCCGCCGGGGAAGGCGCGGGAGCCTCACGCCGCCGCGCCGGGGCCGCTGGGTGAGGGGCGGGCGGGGGAGGCGGAGGATTTGAACGCCGGCAGTTCTGCTCCCCGCTCCGGGATTGGCTGCTGCCTCGTGACGTCACGGGACGCGCTCCGGCGCCGCGCCTCAGCCGATGTCGCCACGCCGGGCGTGGGCGGGGCTGCGGGGGCACGCGCGGCGGCGGCCGCGGGGCACGCCGGGAGCTGTAGTCCTGCCCCCGGCTCCGGGCGCGGCTGGGGCCTGAGCGGGCTGTGCGGGGCCGGGCCACGCTCACAACCCCCGTTCGCGGAAGGGTCGCTGGGACAGCTCCCGCAAGCCCGCAGGAGGGACATGAGCACCTTCTGATGTGAAACCTCGCCTAGATAATGTCCCTGGGGCCTCCTGTTCACACTCGCATGTACTGAGACCATTCTGCTGAGGAAGGCATTTCACGGAATCACAGAATCTGTTGGCTTGGAAAAGATCTCTGAGATCATCAAGTCCAACCTATGACCAAACAACGCCTTATCAAATAGACAGTGACACTAAGTTTGTCTTAAACACCTGCAGGGACGGTGACAACACCACCTCCCTGGACAGCCTGTCCTGATACCCAATCACCCTTTCTGTGACTGAATTCTTCCTCATGGCCAACCTAAACCTCTGGCATAGCATATGACTATGTCCTCTTATCTGTCGCTTTCACCCTGGAGTGCAAAGTCATTCCTGCTTCAGGATGCGAAAAAGCCTTGGTTTGTGTGCACATTGTGCAGGACATTTTCTTCCTGAGTATAGAAACAACACTACATGGGGTGAGGCAGGGTGAGCTGTGCACAGACCTGCCTGCTACTGCAGTGGGTTTGCACAGCACCTCTGTCCCTTCTCTGCAACCTGCAACCTACAGGCACCAATATAAGTGGCATTACAGGTGGAAGATACCTGGAGAGATTGCTGTTGAGGAGGGCCATAGGTAGGATTTATTCTGCTGTTTAGTCCCAAAACATTGTAAGAGGCATTTTCCAGTCTCTCACAAATTTCCCAACTGTGGTTTTAATAAGCAACAGCAAATGCTTATATGGACCCAAGAAAAAAATGTCAGTAGTTGAGGGTGCTGGGTGACCAGCCTCATAAATAGTAAGACACATTTCTTTTGCAACTGGAGAAAATTAAGAACCACTTAAACACTAGACTGGTTGTATGTTAGAAGCATAAAGCTGCCAGATGAGGCAGATGAGCATAAAGCTGCCACATACAGCTGATGAGGAACTAAATGAGTGTGATCTCGAGAAGGAGCTTGAACCTGGAGAATATAAGCAAGAAATTTGGCACTGGATATTACTTCTTCACAATTTTTAGTAAAACAGGATCTTATCAAATACATTGGATTCCCCTCCCTGTCATTCTCCCAAATACTGGTTTTGCCAGAGGGGCAGGAATAAAGGCATTGACTCTAGGTGCAGCTATATTGGATTGTAGGTGTACCATGCCACTGTAGGATAGATCCATACATTCATTCTTCCTAAAAAATAGCTTTACAAATCAAAGCAACTTCTATGGCATTGTATGTGGTTTGTAGCAGGGATTTGCAGTGTTTGACTCTTGCTGACTACCTGCACATGAGACTGAGACCTCAATAACGGCACTTGCAAACTGTGAAAATCTTCATTTTAACTGCTAAGGAAAGATTTTACTTCATGAGAGGAGTGGTGCATGCCCCATGACCTTGCAGGACACCTCTCAGTCTTACAGACAAACGAAATTGGGATGGAGAAAAGCATAACATGACTTTCAATTGAGAAATGCAGTCCTGGAAATGAATGCTCTTAAATTAAAAGCTAGTGTTTATTCCAGCATAACTCTTGATTGTGTGTACATTTTGGTTTTGTTCCTCTTTTTTCTCATCTCCTCTTAACCTTTCTTCTCATCCAGCAGTGATGTCTTTTCCTTTCACAGGTGCTGCAGGGTTGGAGGTGTCCTGGGCTCTGTGACTCATTTAGTGATGGCTCTGTAGGGCTGCCCTCCCACTGTGATCTGGCATATCTGCTCTCACTGTGTTTGCTTTCTGCCTCCAGACCTGCTCCACCTTTCTTCTGCCCAAAACCACTCCATCGGTAGGGTTTGTCATTTAATGTACATTTTACCCTGCAGCTTCTGCACCAGAGGCCCAGCTTAGTTTAGGTTCTAGACATTGTCACAGTGTCACCACCTTAAATTAAGAAATAACAAATCTTCTGAAGAGTTAATGAAAATAAACATTATCCATAGATAGTAGCAATCTTTGGATCAAAACCAATACCTAAAAATGTGCACTGTAATAAAATATTGTGAAGAGCATTAGATAATGCTCTCCAGTGTCATAAGGTACACTATACAAGTCACAGCCTGTATTTCATAAATTATCAGTTTATTGTGTTGGCAATGCTGTCAGAAGCCAATCCTACCCATTATAATAAAGTCTTTCCTTTTCTGATCAATGCATTTTAAATATCAAGCAAGGCTAGTATACTTCAGATGTTCCTTCTCTCTGCCTTTGAATCTTGGCAGAGTACACCGTTGCAAAGCACAAGCTGACATTCTTGTGGGTCACTGTAAATAGAGAAGTGAGACACTCAGGACTAAACATGTCACTGATTAGATTGGGAAAAAGCTGGTAATTTAAGCCAGTGTCAGTCTGGAAATTATTAATCTAAGGACAGACAGAATCCTTTAGGGAGAGGGAAACTATTCTACCAGGGAGGGTGTAGGAGCATAGAACTCCTTGCAGAGGGTTATTTGAAGTTAGTGGAGCTGGGTGGGGATGCGTGACCCCCCAGCTAAAGTGGTCTGTGCATCTGGATCTTCACAACCCATGGTAGAACAGGTCCCACTCAGCCTCCCTTTCCACCAGCAGTTCTCTTCCTGGAGCTCTGCTAGCATGGACTGCTTGGAGATTCAGTCCACTTTCGGAAAATATTGAGGATTTGGGATGAAAACAAGCAAAAAATCCAATTCAAAAAAGTGTCTAAACTCACATGTCTATGCATAAACATAAAAAAATATATGCATCCACATAGATATAATAAATATGTAGATTGTATATTACGCAATCATATAAAATTTAATATTAATATGGTTTATTAATGCTGCGTATATGCATCTACATCTATATAACATATATTGTACAATCTACATGTGTGTATATATATAAAATACATGTAGATTGTATAATATCCAGGCATATAAAATATAATATTAATTGAGATTTAATTTTTTTTTTGTTTTATTTTTGTGTTTAGTTTGGTTTTGTTGTTGTTTTGGTTTTGGTTGGGTTTTGTTTTTGTTTTTTGTTGGTTTTGTTTTCTTTATTTTTAATTTTTTTAATACATATTCCCCTCCACCAAAAGATTTATGTTTTCAGATTATTTTATTTACATGGCACCCCCTCAGCAGTGCAGGGTGGAGTAAGGAAGGTCTGGCTGGAGCAGATTATTGCTCGGCCATCAGCGATGGCCCTGGCCCCCGTCCAGCGAACAGAAATGGGTGGGCACAAGGGTCACTGCTTCACGGATGTGATAATCCCAGGGGGGGTCTCACAATTCCTCCCCGCGTTCGTCTGCATGCATTCCCTCTGCAGAGGCAGCTTTGCTTTCTCTTGGGGTATATTTTTTTGTATCAGCAAAAACAACCAGGAAGAAAAAAAAGTTTCATTAAAATTAGAACGGAGAATCGACTGCTGAAGCGCTTTATTTTTTAGATTTTTTTTTTGGTTTTGTTTTTAAAGCCTAATTTACCTTAAAGAATCTCAAAAGCAGCCTCGAGGGAAAGATCTGTGAATTTTTGTAATGGAAAGCGGTAGCCTCTAGGGCCCAGAGGATATGCAGGGAGGCATTTTCTCCTGCTGGTGCAGCTGAGAGCGAGCGAGAGAGAGCGAGACCTGGAAATGAAAGTAAAGAGATCAGGAGGCACATGGAGGGAGCTGCAGGGGCAGCCGATCCAGAAGCAGAATGCTGCCTTCTATAATTAAATAGCACTTACTATTATTATTACTTCTAGTAATAATACATTAATAATATCTCTAGTAATACAATACCATTTATCAAGGAAAGTTTATGCCTAGTGTGGGAGGGAAAACCCGAGGAGAGGTGAGTTCTTTATTATTATTTTGGGGGGATTATTTTTGTCTTAAATCATTTCTCTGTGTGTTTGTGTATGTAGAAAGGGGTGGACTTGAGTAACAAGAAATTCTGGATGTTGCTTCATTAGAAAGTAAAGGTTTCAGATAGTAGCTGCATAGATGAAAGGTTGTGTAATTGGAAATATAAAGAAAATGTGGTGAAAAATAATACGGGTGAGATTTTGAAGCTAAACCCTCTTCCGCCAAAAATGTGGGGTTTGCAAAAAAAAATATTGTCAAAGATCCTAATCCCACCCCCTGGAAAAAATGTGGTAGTCTAAAATTGCATAGCTAGGGGGAAAGACCCTGGGTTTACGTGGAAAACTTAGTATTAATCGCGTTTGTGCCTGTTTGTGTTTTGTACGTTCGGGATGTGTATTCTGGTCTGTATTTAGGCTGCAGTTTCCCCCTCTTGTTTGGTCCAAACCCCATGAAACGGCAGAGAAGCCCATTTGGAATTGCTTTTTAGATGGACCTTCCGTGGGGTCTCCTAAAGTTTATCAAATAAGAAGACTGTGCTTTTTTGGGTTTTGTTTGTTTTGGTTTTAATTCTTTAATGTTTAGACAGTTTCCGGGTGGCAGGGGACGTTATGTATTGGATTTTGGTGGTTTTTTTCCTCTTAAAGCTGTCTCCCAGACTCTTGGAGACGCGTGATTTTTATCTAAGTGGATGGGGGGTGGGGAAGGAGGAAGAGTATGTTTTGGTTTGTTTTCCTTTTCCCGGGGAAACATGGATGTCTTCTGCCCTGGGAGACCCTTCCCAGCAGGGCTGCAGTGTTGGAGTGCCGGGGTGCCGGCGTTCGGCAGAGTCGCGGGGGTGCGGGAGGCGCCGCCGGCCCCTCTCCGCTCCAGCGGCCGAGGTGGCGCCTCTCCCGGCTGCGGCCTCTACGCAAGGCCGGGGACCCGCGGCCTAGTGCGGGCAGCGGGGGGAGGGAGCGAACCAGGGCTCCCGCGCCGTCCGTGTGGGAACCAGCCCCCGGATTTAGTTTTTTAAATGAGGCACAGGAATGCGAGCTGGGTGGGCAGAAACCCAAGAGCAAGTGACTTAGGGATAGGCAGCATAAGCCCACAGCTCTCTCCTTGCTCCTTGGCTGCGCTGCTGTGGGGGCAGGAGGAAGGGTGGCCTGTGGTACATGAAGGTGTTCTGTATGGAGTGGTTATGTGTGGAGCTACTATGGAAGGGTTATGTGTGGAACACAAGGCTGAAGGGGCTGGAAAATGAGGTAATGGGGGTTGATGTGGTCAGTTGGGACTTTAGCCCCCACTACCATCCCCCTCTCAGGGAAACTTAAGAGTCACAGCTTTTATTTTCACTGGGGGGTGAGCTGGTTGTTGCTACCTTACTTTGCATTCACTGGGTGCAGTGAATATTGCTGGGTGCAGCTGGTGACACCCCAGCGACCCCAGTGATGCTGCAAAGCAGGCGTGGCACTAGTGGGGTGCTGGGATGTGAGATGGTGGCCATGGAAGTTCCTTGGGGCGGCGGGTGTGGGGAGGGACACAGGAGTCTGCCCTGGTGGGCACCGCACAGTGGTGGGGAATCCAAGAGCGATTGGCTGAGAGAAGTAATGAAACCCAGGGAGTGCAACATGGCAGAAGGCAGCTGCAGGAGTGAGCAAGAGCCCAAGTTTGTAGTGGGTTCTGCAGTTTGTCCTTTACTTGATGTGTGCCCAGTTAGCTATTGTGCTGTACCACTAAGGTGGCCAAACTTCAGGCAGTGAAAGACTCCCATGTTTCAGACCAGTGTATCCTGGAGCCTTTTTCCTGGGCAGCTCCAGTGTCAGCTCTGCAACCTGCAACTTGCATCTGAGTGTGCTTATTTCTAGCTGAAATGTTACAGTCAATGCCTGGAAGTCAATCAAGTGTCAGCTCATTGCCATCTTATAATACAGTGTGAAAAACTTTGCCCAAATTCAGTTCTGACAGGGTTATGAATAAGAGCTGTGTCCTTGATAAGATGAATTCAAGTCTTTCCGTTCATCTCGTGTTTCTACCATCTACCCATCTAGATATCCACCCAATTTGTGATTCAGTCACCCAGTTTACTGCTTCATGCTTCCTTCTTAAGGCAAGAAAACTGTTTTGCATGTCTGTAGCATTATATTCCTCTCTGGCAAATGGTTTGTAATTTATTGACAAACTGTGAATAAAGTTTTCTCTCGATGCTGGACCTCTGTCCAGGGAGGATAAATGTCTCTGGACTGAAAGGATGAGAGTTTTGTAATGGAGATATAAATACTCGGTATTTGAATTTTGCTGGTGATTTGAGTGGACAAGTCTGGACAGAGAGATTTGGTGGGGGAGAGAAAAGGGATCCTTATACACAGTGCTTCATCAAATGTTTTCTACTGTGTTTCTAAAATTATTTAAAAGCTCAAGAAAACAAAAGCTAAACAAGCTTTGCACTTAAAATTAATTATGCAGTAGCTGTGGTATAGTGTGCAGCAGAACTGAAGTGTTGCTAATGTGGGTGGCTCACTGTGTGTTGGGTTTGCTGGTGTAAGAAGAGCATGGCTTGGTCTGAGTGTTAAATGCAACATGGTGAAGAGGCTGGAATGATGGGGGAGACAGAAGTGACTGGGTTTGCTGGTGAGGTAGTGGGAGGAGGAGGTGTGAGGAGCAAAAAGAGGAGTCTGACTGGCAGCCTCCTGCAGTGGTTGGGGCAGGCAGGACAGATGAAGGATCTGCCACACGTGAAGGAGATTGTTGGTATGGAGTCACATTGAGGGGGAAAGAAAGGTAGTTGTTCCTGAGATATGTGCAAGAAGTTGGTGGGTAGCAGCACATGGTGAGTTCTTTGAAGGTGCTGCCATGAGGGGGTGAGTCTTATGTGCAAAGTCATGACTTAAGCTTGGAGGTGTGACAGACCTGTAGCAGAGAAAGCTGGTCACCCACTTGCAGGGAGGGAGGAATGTGGGGCAGTACCAGGGAGCAACAGTCTAGAGTGGAGATCAGGCCTGTGGTTTATGTTTAAAGAAGGCAGTGGAGGGTTTTGGGTTGAAGAACATTCACTCTGGAAGATGAGCGTCGAACTGCAGAGCACCAACAGCATGCAGGGCACAGAAGGTTCTCATTTACCAGGGTTTTATAACAAGGAGCAAACTGTAGCCGTGTATTGTGGAACTTACAGAGATGCAGTAGGCTGGTCAGCCATCCAGGTGAAACAAGGATGAGGATATTCATGCTGGATGCAGTGGCAATAGTGACGTGGAGAGGAAAAAACAGAAAGGGAGCTTCAGGATGCAAGAAGAGTTGGGTAACTCTAGAAAGGAGACATTCTGTAGCCATTCCCAGTAGTCCTTTGGCTGCACTCCAGGTTTGGGTCAGTAACTTTTGAATGCCCTTCTCTCTGGGCAAGCAACAGTAATCAGTTCTCACTGTAACACAGACTCACACTGTGCTGTGTAGGATGTTTTAGCAGTGGGGTCAGGGTAGCTGTGAGAACAGGTATGGATCTCCTCTCCTTGCAGAGTGTTTTAAAGCTCAGAAACAGAAGTAGACCATGTGTATTGAAAGTTTTTTAAGGTGATGATGTGTTTTGTGGATATACACAATTGTAAAGGTGTGCCCTGGCATCTTTGGAATGCAGCCATTGCCTTGGTGGTGACCAGCCAGTGTTCAGCTGCCCTCCTCACGGTAGCCAATAATCTCCCTTTTCATCAGATCTGTGGGCTTCTGCTTCACTTCCCTGACTTACGTTCCCTCCAGCATGACTCAGGGAGCAGCAAGAACAGGGCTGCACCTCCAGGCAGGACAAATGAGTAGCAGCAGAAGGTGATGGCAGTCACCAGCAATGCCCTCACTCACAGGCTGCAGTCCACCACATGTGAACAGTGTAGGCAGAACTAGATGCCAATAGGAGTGGTGCATCAACAGTCCCAAAGAAGATGAGGTGGTGAATCTAGTCCAGGTCCACTCAGTGAGTCCAGTGGTAGGAGATGGTGCCAGAGACAGGACTGGAGACAAGCTGCCTGCAATGAAGGTCTGAGGTTTGTCCCAGAGGTAGACCTGAGGACTAGTTCACCTACAGCATAGCTCAGACAAGGCAGGACCTGGACCTGCGCTGAAATGGAGCTTCTAGACTATGGACAGAGGGCCATAGGTGGGGGTCCAAGGTGAGGCTGTTTGGAATGCTTCAAGACTTTTAGTGTATTTAGCTAGAAATTCTTCCTTCCTCCCTGTGCTCTCCCCATGAGCCTTTGGGAGGGTCCATTTGACTCTTTTGCCTTCTCTTCTCCCCCAGAGTTTCTCTCTTGTCATTTCTTGTGGAGGCCCTTTCCTCACTCTTGTCTCAGATGGCCCTACAGTGATCTGGGGTGGCTCTGTCCTTTCATGTCTTCCACTGCTGCCTTTGTGGAAATGGTTCCTTCTGCTCCTCTTCCGCTTCTCTGTTCTCTCTTTCTTCCTCTGTCTTTGCAGAATTTCACACAGGGATAAAAAAATAAATTAATTATCTCTCTCTTTGTCTACGTCTCAAGCCTGTCTGCCTGTATCGTTAGTGATCATATTAACCTCACAATCTCCTTGTTAAATTTCCTTCTTTCTTCCTGATTGCTCATTATCCAGGCTATTTATGAATCAATGCAGGCCTTCTGTTGATGTTGTACTGAAGTGTATCAGCTCTTCTCCATCACTTCTGTTTAAAAGCCTTTGTAGAGATGCTGGTCATCCCTCACCTTGGCTATTGGCTTTCCCTTTCTTGCTGCATTGCCCATCCTGTTCCAAGTTCAGCTGCTTAAAGTCTCCTACCTGCTGCTTGAACCAGGTTGCTCCCAAATTTACTGTCTGATGACTTAGAAACTGCAAAGTATCACTTTCAAGTTCTTGCTTCCTTTTGCTGCCACTTTCTCTCACTCCAGTCTTTCCTGCTTCCCCCCACTCTTCTTGTTGGTAAAGGGCAGTTCAGTTCTACATTTTGCATGGCACAGAGCACAATCAGTTAAGGGCTTGCTGGGTTGTCAGAATTGATTCTTATGTACCTTAAAGGCCCCTTCAATCTGTGTCATTAATACTGCAAGATATCTTAGGATGATAGAGATGGTCTTAATGTAGCAGCTGGATGATAATCCTCTCCAAGCTGTTGTAGTGTAGAGGTGGAGAAATTACTTTAGTATTTTCTTAGAGGCGGTCCTGGGTTGGGAAGGTACAAGGTCTTCATCTCCATCTCATTTCAGTGTTTCTGTACTTGCTGCCTTTGTCCCCAAGTTCCTGTTCCTCAAATGCTGAGCATTATTTGTGGTCACAGCTGGTTGATGTGAAATTTGCTGTCATCAGCAGCTCAGTTTTACCACAAAGTGCCATCCTTTCTTGCCTTCATTATTCTTTTCTTGTGCTACAGGCCTGTGTACCTTGGAGAAAGGTCACTGGGGAACCATTCCAAGATTTACTTCCAAACTGCAGAGGATGAAGTGCAGATAACTCTTGAGCCTTCATAAGGGTGCTGCCCACCCCAGTTTAAAGCACTGCAGGATAGGGCTCTGTTCGCTCTCCAAAGTGTTCCCCAGTCTGTGCTGCTCTTGTCTGCTTGTTTTCAGCATGAAATCCACATTGCATGGATTCAGTGCTGTGCTTTTATGTGGACCACAGCAAACAATTTCATCTCCCTTTGTGCTGTACCTCCATAAACCTTGTGTAGATAAGGTATATTTGATGTGCAGCAAACTAGTTTAAATCTGTCCCAGATAAATAGTGGTCAGAATTGTGTATCATGGGAGGGTCTAAGCACAAATTCCTGAAATGACTGCCAGTGCAGGCAAAGATGGTATTTGGTTTCTTCCCTTTCCTAGAAGGCAGTCATGATAACAGTTGGTTCCCATTGCTTTATTTACTGGCAGCCTAAGCAGAGAGCTCAAATTGAAGTAATTCCTCTTTGCCCCTGCATCCTGTCAGTGGCATGTGAGAAAAAGCAGATACTTGGTAGCGAGCTGCTTGCCGTGCTGTATCTGCAGTGTGGATAAATCATGGGCTTTGCTGTTCAGGGCATCAGGTCTGGAACATTTTGTTAGTAGTAAATTCAGGCACAAACAAAATACTTTGCTGTTTAATTGCCAGCAAGACCTAAAATGACTCACTTTGTGTTGTTTCTTTTTCTTCTTCCTCCACAGCAACCATAATGGAGAGGCAGAAGAGAAAACAAGAAATAGAGAAAGGACTTCAGTTCATTCAGTAAGTGGACAACCTCAGTGTTCCCCGTGGATTTGGAGGTGGTCATCTTTCTGTTGAGGATTGCAGGAACTGAGTTTTTCCTATTCACTGCTTTGGGTTTGCTGCATGGGAAAGAAATACTGTCCTGAGGATTTTGACTGTGATTTTTTTCAGGGTGTTTCTTGTCCTGTTAACTTAAAATTCTGTAATTTTAATTTCCTTTGGTTTTGCCCTCCACTGCAGTTCCAGGATTATCTTTACAGTCAGCATAATGCTAATAGTACTTGGATCTTCTACATCATCTTCATCATGAAGATCTCAAAATGCTCTCTTAACAAGGCTGTCCCACCTTTGTTAGGAAGGGAGATAGTGTTTCAGCTCTGCAGGTGGGGAAACAAGGTGCATAACTTGTTAGGCCCCCCATATGGTGCCTATAGGAAAAATAGATAACCTGGGTTCTTTTACAAGTGCCAACCTGCAATGTAGAGTTTCAGATCACTTCTCTATGAATGTCATGTGGCCTTGTAGAGCTTGAAGTTGCTCATGTAGTATTTACAAATCCTAGTACTTCTTTATCAGATACAGTAGTATTTCTCCCTCCCATATTTGACTTAGCAGAGGCCTCAAGCTCAGGTCCAGGTTCCATGGTGAGTAAGGAAGTAGTAAGATTGTAATTAGATAGGTTTCAGGTTTTTTTAAGGTCTGCTTTGTGTCCTGCAATTATTATGCCTGAAATCTGTGCCACTACAATAGGAAACCCCCTAGATCTTCCATGTTACATATTTGTATCCTGTAATATGACCATGATATTTTCATCCCAGTCTGAGACTAAATAGGGCTCGTAGCCCGGTTTTGGAGAGGTAATAGTGAGATTTATATTGGTAGCACTTATAAAAATGCACGAGATTCTGGGGAAGAAAATAATTTAGAAATATGAGGTATAGTTCATGCACCTGGGGCATATCTTGCACTCTGAACCAGGAGCAGTGCCATATGTTGGTTTTGTTTTGATGTGAAAGAGGGAGTCCAAATATGTAAGCAGCATGAATATTTCTTACAAAGCCATGACATTTCCTGTAGTTAATTTTAAGGAGTGATTAGGTGAAATCTAAAACATGTTTATTCTGTAACCAGTAAGATCATGTATGCACTGTGGGTGAGAAAAGCTATGAAAGGTGCTGAGGATTCCTCTAGGGCCTATTGATTTGTTCTTGAAGAGAAACAATAAATATATGTGAACCAAGCCTGGATGAATTGGGTAGTCCAATTTGAAGAACAGAACATTTCTCTTAAGTTTCAGTGCTGTTGTAGGGTAGGTGTTATCCTCACAAGCTCTGCCAGTGTTTGTGGTTCAGCCTTGGCCAAGAAAGTGTGGAGGTTCAGAACTGAACTCCTGAACCTGCACTGTTTTCTCCCTTCCTTTTGTGGGGTAGGCCTAAAGGCATGTGGCTAAGTTTAGGCAGAGAAAAGTGATTGCATTTATCTCTGTGTGTGTCTCTGGTCTCACAAAGAATTTGAAGAGGTCTTGGAGTCTCTTGGTCTCATTAGAGCCAGATGGACATAAAATACACTTGTATTCTTCATGGCAGTCTCTCATGGGACTTTATTAAAGATGGGTTTTTTAGGTGACTGTCAGAAGGCACATTACAGAGGATCATGTATGCACAGAAAAGAAATGAAAATAAGACTCCTCTAGTCTCAAGTCCCTCTTAGATGTGACCATCGCTTGACACCACTGTGAGTGTCACTGAGCATAATGCTCCCTAACTGTGCTCTCTTTGCCTCAGCTGCCTTTGCAGTGATAAAATGTTCAGTAACTTACTGAGATCACCAGCACAGGACTAGAAAAAGGATCTCTTCATCAGACAAAAGCCCTTGTTTGCATAGATGCCTGTTTCATGAGTATTTTCTCTTCTTTTTCTTCAGGTCCACATTACCCCTAAGCCAAGAAGATTATGAGGTAATGGAGATTTTGTTTGTTGAAGCTGGGAGCCCTCTGGTTAGCAAGATTTGTTCTGTTGTACAGCCATTAGTTTACATGCCAAAAGTGAAGAATGTGGGATGCTCTGTCACAATTTACCTGTGACTTAAAGTTTTAAGGTTCTGATGATGACAACTTTCAGGGAAAGGAGAAGACACTGAAGTACTCAAGAAGAATGGGAATTTGACTGGATTATTCTCCTCTACCAAAAACCCTGATGTTTTACAGGAGGGTAGGGGTGAAGGAGTATCTTAGTGGGCAAGCAGTTTGCTAAAAGATACAGAAAGGAATGGGAAATTGGGAAGCCTGTCCTGTCTCTGAATATCCATTTGAGTCTATTTGTTCTCTCCCTGCTGCCCAGGCCTTTTTGCAGAAGCTGGTGAGAAACTTGTTTGCAGAGGGCAATGATTTGTTCCGAGAGAAGGATTTCAAGCTTTCCCTGGTCCAGTACGTGGAAGGGCTGAATGTGGCAGATTATGCAGCCTCTGATGAGGTGACCATCCCAAAGGAACTCCTCTGCAAGCTCCATGTCAACCGAGCTGCCTGCTACTTTGCCATGGTGAGTGCTTTCCCAAGTCATCCCCAGGAGCCAGGGTTACAGTGCTGTGCAGTTGGAAAAGATGTCATGAGATATTTCAGCTGGTTTTGTCCACTCCCTGTTCAAACACTGGAGGAGACAACAACGCACTGAAAAGTCTGCATTCTCCTCACAATTGCACTATGTCTTGCAAGACCAGAGGAAGGATGTGAGGAGAGGGGGCCAAGCCTAAGGTTCTAAGAACAGTGCAGTTCTGCTCTTCAGTGGCGAGGAGTTAGAACTGTCCAGTGTCTTCCAGTGTTGAACAAGTATTTTTCTGGAAAACTGTTTATTGTTCTGGAGGCTCTTGCCTCCTCCATTGAGACACTGGAAGACAGTAGGAAGGCTTTGGGTCTTGAAGGAACTTGTGCAGCACACACATGGAAAGGGATTCTGAAATACCCAGGCTTTGAAAGGCTGCATGCTTCCATTTTACTCAGGCATGTAACAGCTTTTCTTCATGGCACAACCGCAGAGCCGGCCTGTCCTGTTTGTAAGGACACTGAGTCCCTTGAAAATTAGCAAGCAGTCACATAATTAAAGACTTTCAAGTGTAACATGCTCGGGATAGAGGGGGAGACAAGATAAGGTTGCTCAAGCAACCTTAGTTCTGTCATTCCTTGACTTTGAAGTGTTTTGAGTTCTGCAAGATTTAACAAAATGTTCTTTTAATGTAGGTGTGTTTGCACACTGGTCTGTGCATGAGGTAACGTATGTACTTCCACCTGCTGCTTGTATTCCTGCTTTCTGCTGAGAGATAGAACATTTGCATTCACAGAGAAGGACAAGTTAGCCTGCTGTGCCTCAGCTGACTGCAGGTGGTCTGTTCCATGCAGGGGTTGTATGAGAAGGCGCTGGAAGACAGCGAGAAGGCTTTGAGCCTCGACAAGGAGAACATCCGAGCGCTATTCCGGAAAGCCCGTTCCTTAAATGAACTTGGAAGACACAAAGAAGCGTATGAGTGCAACAGCCGATGCTTGCTGTCCCTCCCACATGTAAGTTTTTGACATACAACTCATCTTGGGTTTTGTGGCTCACAATCTTTGTCTCCTCAACATGCTTAGTGTGAGGCAAGAGGATAGTGGAAGAGAAATTTTGTCTGTTCCCAAGAACATGCTTGTGCCCAGAAATTCTGTCTCTCTGGCTCAAAGTTGTTTGTCCTCACATGTTTCTTCAGGCCTAGTTACCTCTTACAGATAGTGCCAGCCAGGGACACCAGCTAGTGATAGCAGGTTCATGGTCTGTTTGTGAAGAACAAACCCCTACTCTAACAAAAGGTGAACTAAAGCCATGAGAATGTTTTAATTGGCTGGTTTTTTATCTCTAATAAAAGTGACGAGGATAAATGGGAACTGGAGCTCTGAAAGGAAAACTTGTATGGTTTTCCTGTGTTGGATATAAATGTCTCACATTTCACTTACTGATTGCTAAGGCAAAGTGATCAAGCTTTTTATTTCTTGAGGAACATGCAAAGGTGTTGTTGACATCACATGGCACAGTTATTTTTGTGTTCAGGGGTGTGTAATTTTTTGCATGCAGAGAGGACTGTCTGCATACACTAGGTGCTAAATATTTTCCTATATTTTTTCCACTATTTCCTAGGATAGTGTTTTTGAGCATCCTCTTAGGCCAGATATTGATCTGGAAAGCAAACTGTGATTACATGGCTTCAAGTGAGCACTTTGCTGATGTTGGTTCCGATCCATCACAGTAATGTTGTTAGAAGAAAAATGCTTCCACCTCAGCAGGAGAAGTTAACTTTCCCTTATTATTAGTGGTATAGAAGCAATCTTTGAAAGCCTTGTTAGCAGTTAGTTATTCCTTTTGTGCTTGTAAATTCTAGCTTCTTTACTTGGGCAGAACAGGGTGACCAAACCATGTTAAAGATATCATTTTTGGGGAGTCCCAAGGAACTGTTTTATAAACAAACCCTTGATTAACAAAAGCATCTAGTGTAGGTGTTCTTTCAAAGCTATATTTTACATTGCAGCTGAGCCACTTAGTTTATATTTTAACTATATATTTATGTTTACATAGCTGCCATTATTATCATTACTTTATCAAACTTCTCTGTGCCAGGAAAGTTCAGCCTAAAAATTTCCATATTGAGGGATCTGTGTTTCCTATTCTAAACAATTCAGCCTTGTAAATTAACAAACATAAATTAACATTGTCTTGTTACCTGCTTAACAGAAATCATAAGCCTTCTCTGCATCAAAGGCAATTCATGCTATCCATCATTTCACTCCTGTTTCCATTACTCTCTGGAGCACATGGGTACTTCCATCTTCACATTGCTGTAATTGCTGAGAACTTTGTTGTGTTCAGAACAGAGCCTGTCTTAGAACTTCTGATGATAAAGGATGTGCCACTCATTTGGCTGTCTGTCAGAGTTAACTTATTTCTGGGTGCAGACACTCAATGCTGCTAGTTTGCAGAAGTTCTCAGTTTGGTGAAGTTAATACTTCTCTGTGGTACACTTGTGTTTGGTATGGCATGAGGTGTTTTAGAAGAAGGAATAGACAAGCTAGATTTTGTTTTCACCAGGTTCAGTGAAGATAGTGTCAAGTCTAATGTTGAAGGTGTGGGGGAACACAATCAAAAAGTGGCACTCCAGATTGAAGGGAAAAGTTACTGATATGGTGGGCTGGAAGAACCAGAGGCTTCTCAGCCCTTGAAAGTGAAAGGACTCAACTTGCAAGGAGAAGGAGACAGGAAAGACCAGCATGGCAAGTAGAGAGAAGAGGGCAAGCTTCAAGGTTGGACATGAGGGGGGAAATTCTGGGAGGTTAAGGTGAGCTATCACAACAGGTTGGGCAGATAGATACCTTTTTTCTTCTTTGAAAAAACTGGTGAAGTACTCTGATATTTTTGCAAACAGGGAGAGAGAGGAAAACAGAAGGAAACAGTTGCTGGTGATATATAAGTGTAGAAGACTGTGGCAGGTTGTTAGTCTGGGCAGGAAGCCCATGGTGGTGTGTGAGTGGGCATGGACACTGGGCAGGGAGGATGGTAAAATGCTACACAACAGGGAAAGCTCAAGATCTGCTTGACTAAGCTGAGGCAGTTTAGCTGGAGCTGGAGACAGTCAAAATGCCTTCTAGCTAGTAGGTTGAAAACTGAGACTTGGTTTCAGCTTTAAAAACAAACAAGCAAAACAGGCTAGTGGGTACTGTCTGCATATCAAAACTGATGATTAACTCTGCAGCTAGCAGAGAGGGAAGACATGCAGGCTCCTTCCCAGGGATGGAGACCTCGTGGAAGCTGTATCAGCTGCCAGCCTTGGCAGCTCCTTCCGCCAACTTGCCCGCAGGACTCCTGAACCCTGTTTTCACAGAGTGGGTGCTTTGTTGGAAGCAGGTACTTGATTCTGATTTTCTGCAGCATTGAATGAGTGAAGGGCAAAACTCCTGGTGCAACTGCAGCATCTTGGCAGGACTAAATGACAAGAATGCTGAAGTCTGTCTGGACTCTCTGAGGCTGTTCTGGAAATTATCTATCTGCTGCTGTCTGAAGTTGAGGCTTGGTGCAGCCCAATGTGCATAACTGCATTCCTCTTTATTTTTTGTTCTGTGTGACAAAAAGGCAAAACTGAAAGTGTCCCATCAATTGTTTTGCCCCCAGGATGAAAGTGTCACACAACTGGGGCAGGAGCTTGCTCAGAAGCTGGGACTGAGGGTTCGAAAAGCATACAAAAGACCTCAGGTATGACTTCTTTTGTCTTAAAGGCTATCCTTTGCTTGTACAAATTTTACTTTTGCAGAAGTGGTAGGTGCTGTTCTGCAGTTACAGACATGTGTACACAACCCTGCAAGCTCTAGCAGGCTGCTGGCAACCCTCCTTGTCCTGACCCTCTGACTCACTTTGCCTTGATCCATTTCTAACCCCAGTGCTGCTCTGTGTCTACTGCCAGGATGTTTTCTGAGTCCCCAGCTGGTGCTGCAGGAGAAACTTCCAACACAGCAGATGCCTGCTGTGTTTTTGCAGGAGAGGAACGTGTGACCTGATCCCAAAGCAGGTTTTGCATCACAATCCTCTCCCTGTTATGAGATGAGAAGGATGGGATCCTCTGCTTTGGAGGCATGGCTGGTTTTGTAGTGCAGTGGATCATGAAGGGTTCCTGCCCCTTTTCTAGGTGTACACTTCTTTGTGGTGGGGGAAAGGCTTGGCTTTGGGAGAGCAATGGGTACACACCTGGTTAGAAGCTAATTGACCCCAGTGACTGGATCTGTTACTTTACAAGGAGGTGCTGTAGGTGTTTAAATGTGTACCCTGGGATGGAGCTAGAGGGCGTTAGGCCACTGCCAGGGATAAAGCTGCTCTCCCATAAGCTGCCTTGGTCACAGATTTTGCTTTCAGGAGCAGAGAACATGAGCTAGTAGTGGAGGCTGATGCTTGTGTTTGCATCCTCGGCCCCAGGCACGGCAGTGTTAAATGAACAGCGTGTTCCATCTGCAGAGGGGCACCTCTGTAGCATGAGGCGGAATGATTGGTGGGAATGTGGTTTGCAGAGAGCTTTTAGGGTAAATCTGGCTGTAACATGTTAATCCTCTCCCCAACAAACCTCACGTGTGATTTGCCTACACTAAGAAAACTCCTTGATCTCATAGCAGCTTTCCACACTCCAAAATGTTTCTGTCTCAAAGAAAGGGAAGTTTATGTGGAAATACTTTTTGTGGCTGTTCACTGTATTGGCCTTGCCACCTTTTTTGCCACTGTCATGTTACTCAGCTGAGATGGGCTTAAACCACCTGTATGTTAGAAATTTAAAAATTAAACACTCTAGAATGCTTTTTCTTATTTGAAATTCTGTGACTGGTATTTTGTTAACACTTTTGATCTTTTGTGTTGAGTTCCAGCTTTCACTCCAGTGTGGTAATGTCTTCTCAAAGTAATAATTTCTTAACGAAAAGCAAACCCATCTGTTTCTCAAGGAAGTTTTTTGCCTCCTGGTTGTGGGTTGGATGTTCTGAGGTGTACAGAACAATTAAATGTCCCTTTTCAGTGTTGACAAACGTGCACTCTTGTGTCACAGTGGAGTAACCTTTCGGGGTGACTTTTATTTTTGGGCAGTGCTTGGAAGGAAACCATATTGTAACCCAGCTTTACCTAGTTCATGAGCATTCACAGGCTGAATTCTGCTCTAAGACCTCTCTCTTCCTTGCAGCAGGAGTTGGAAACATTCTCACTACTCAGTAATGGCACTTCAATCAATTCATCAAACCAGGTAGAGTTTGCATCCTGTGGTTGTTACTGTTTATGGATTGTGCTACTAGAATGCTTTAAAGTTTTATTTACATGCAAATTTATAACTGTCTTTTAAGTTTGAACTGTTTTAATTAGTGTTTTCTGCTCTTAAGGGATATTTCCAAGAAATTAATTTCTTTGAAAACGTTTCTGCGGACATAATTTTTATGTTGGTAATTAGATCACCAATGATGGTTATTTTTCTTAGTTATTGTAGATGTTTGCTATCTCTTGCATTTTAAATAATTTTTTGTTTTCAAGTTTTGAATGTCTAACAACAATGCTAAGTAAAAGTCAGAAAGTGCAACTGCTGAAGAAACATACAGAATTAAATCCTGTGATGTACTGAGTAAGGTACATACACAGTTTATGTATTGTTTGTATTGTCCTGGGAGACCCAGCTGGGCAGGGCAGTGTACAAATACTAAGGTAAAATATAAGAAATTTCTGGTTTCCTTGGTCTACCACTGGGCAAGAAAAAGTCCCAACAAGCACTTGCTGTTTTTACAGGCTGTTTGGTATTCCACAATGCTCCTTAAGGCAATTAAACAAGAAAACTATAAACATTGTAATTTTGTACAACAAACTACTAAAGAACTACTTTACCTCTCACTGTTCAGTGATTTGGCTTCACATCTTTCTAGGAAGGCCAGTCAACTTTCTTTATTAGTTGCGCCGAGTTTTTAATTTCAAAATCTTTTCCTTTTATAAGAATTGAAAGTAGTGCAAACCCCACTGTAATAGATGCAATATTACAAGACAAATGCTTTACTTGTGCCTTTTTAAGCTTAATCTGAAGGCACATGTACTTACCTCTATTTATGTTTCTGTAAAATATGGACTCAATTTATTCCTTGCCTTGAGCTCCAAGTCAGCAGTTGTCTTGGCAGAGGCATTTTCCTGTTTTGAATTTGCTGTAGAAGTCTGTGGTTGTTAGATTGCAAAATATGTGAACTAAGAAGAGGAACGTTGTGTAAGATCAGGCTAATCAGATCTCCCATGCAGTGGGCTGACCAATTGATGTGTCCTGGGACTTGGGACACAGTGTTCTCATCCACACATGAAATACCCTGTTCTATGTATGGAGTTGCTCACATGGTTGGATATTGTGCAGACACGGTTTTATTGTAGCAAAAGGATTTGTCATCTGCTGAAGGCAAACATGAATAGATTCCTTGGATCAATGGCCTCCTAAAGTTCATTGATTTTACTGTTCCAGCACAGAAAGAGGCCATAAAGGAAAAGAAGGAGTAGTGAAGAGTCCCATATGTAAAGTATGGATGTCTATTTAAAGATTACCTTCTCACAATATTTTTTGTCTCCCTTTTCCTACATCCTCTTTGCAGGCTACTTCCAATGGATTGGGCTCAATAGATGACATTGAAACAGGTAAAGATATCTCCTCAGACTTTTGTGGCTTCAGTATGGTATGTGATCAGGCTGGCAGGCTTGAGAGGTTCATCATCTGCATTTGTATCTCTTCTGCACACTCCTAACTTTGGTAACTGGGAGAAGGAAAAAGTGGTGCAAAGCAGGAGTGTTTTTCTTGCAAAACCAGCTTTTTGTCCAGGCCCTGTGAGAGATGTGTCTGGGAGTTAAAAGGGTCTGCTGAGGTACACAGCTCTCTCCAGTTGTGCTTTCTTGAAGCTGCTCTTGGCAAAGCTTCTGAAATTCTGCTCCAAGACAAAACAGTCCAGATAAAGTGAAGTTAAGGTTGTTTTGCTCTGAGTGCATGTGGTCCTCCAAGACATTGAGGTGGAAGAATTGAAAACAAAGGAGTTGGGAGGAACCTGGGAGAGCCGAGTTCAGGGTTAGGCACCCAGGAGGAGAAGGAAGATTAACAGGGTTGCTTTTCTCATGCTGGGAAACAAGTGACCTTAACTCTGCCCCTGTAGAAAGGCTTGCTACCTTGTGTGCTGGAGCACTGAACTTCTGCCTCTGAGCACATCAGTCTTCATTCCTTTGTAAAGTAGCTCTGTGTGCGTAAAGGTAAGTGTGAGGACTTAATACCACAAGTAGCAATTGCTCTTTTTATAGAAAGTAACTAATTTCATGATTAGGATGCTTTGGAAAGCATGTTAGTTCTCTGTTGAATGCCAGTTTAGTATTTGCTTGCTATATGAGATCATGAGACCCAGTTCTGTGAATTAAGGAGAATTTTTCACATTATCTTGCTGTGCTAAAATTAACTGGACTCCTCCTACAGACTAACGAATGACCACATCCAGTAAGCTCTTTATCTAATCTGGATTTGGTGTAAGAGCAGCATGCCACCTTTACTGCAGATCAGGCAGACAGAACCTTTACTGCTAGGAAATCTTTGTAAAAGCACTGGAATTATGTTATCAAATTGCCTTGAGCATGGTGTGCTACCAGGACGACTGTGAGTGCTGGGTACCTTGAGAGTTTCAGATTAGAAGAGTTTTTTAGCAAGGATTTCTGTGGTTGTTGTTTTGTTTTAAAGTGCAGACTCTTGAAGCCTTTTCCTCCATGTTTTGCTTGAAGTTATCTGATTAACTCAGCCCAGTCCTGCAGAAAGATCATGGCTCAGTTCTGGCTCAGTATGGCCATTGGCCAGCTAATGCACCAGGGAACCACTGCTGTTTTGGAGAGCAGAGTTAGAAACAGTGCTTTTAAAAGCTCTCTGCTTGCCCCTCGGGGACAGGCAGGTGTATGGCCAGAGAAGCTGGGGAAACTTGGTATGAGAGACTTGGTTCATGGGTGTGTATGGACAAGCCCCTTGTTGGCCTTACGATAATAGCGGGGCTGACTGTGATGGCAGGGGCAGAAATCAGCAGGTGTGGGTGTGCTTGTGGAGCTGCTCATCAGAGAAAGCTGTTTTATTCTTTTAAGATGGAGTAAAAGTTAGGGGAATGCAGAGGATGCCTGAGCATTCTGTAAGGAGAGTATGTGAGATGGGGTATCACAGCTGGTGAGTGAGGTCAGCAGATCTGGTGTCCTGATGAAAGCAGGAATGGGAAAGGAGAGACAGGGAAAAAAATTGGACAAAGTAGAGTAGGAGGAAGTGGCTGAAGGAATAACAGTGTTTGGGTGGTCAGGGAGAGGGGAATGGACATCTTCCCTCTTCCACTTGCAAGTAGTGGAACCTGTTGGTCCCTGCTCTTTTCCTTGCCCTTCACATGCATTGAGCTGTGGGGATCTCATGTTATTGTCTGCCTTTTGGTCATGCATTCAGCATTTCAGGGTTTAGGGCCTCTTAGGGTGTGTGAGGGCCTCTTTTCTTTGCTTCCCAGTCTGAGTGGAAAATGCAGGGCCTCATTCATTCCTCAGAGAAGGTCTGAACTGCTGGATCCTTTGGGGCCCTGTCATTGTGCATCCTTTTGCTCCCCGCTGCACGTGTCCCCGTCCCTTCCAGCATGTTCTGAACTTCTTGTTGGCCTCTGTAGGGTTCTTGACAGTACTCCAGATTTAAACATTTGAAAAATGGGAAGGCACAAGCCATCCCTTTGTACTGCAGGGAATCTGGCCAAGCTTCCAGCCATGAGAAAAGCTGGATAGCTGGCTTCCTGGTGGCTGGGGGTTCTGCACCAAAGGATGAGATGAGATGAGATGAGATGAGATGAGATGAGATGAGATGAGATGAGAAAGTCATTGCAAAGGGGGCATGGGGTTGGAGCTGAGCCTGATTGGTGGGGCAGCTGCAAAACTAAGGACATGCACAGCCTGTGGGAAATGCATTCAGCTGCACACCAAAATCCTGTGTTGGAGCCCATAAGGTACAGCATGTGTTTGCCTTCAATGGCATGCTTGAGGATGTGGAGAGGGACCTGTGTCTGTTCCTTGCCACTTCCCCTGCTTCCCTGTCTTTGTCATGGCTCAGCCTCCAGTGCCCTGCACAGTGACCTTTGCTGAAGTCCATCCATGTGGACCATTCACAACAAATACTGGAGGAAAGGTTGCAGGGGTTGGTGCTGTGCTCCAGGTGAGGTTAGAGATAAGGGGGCATGCCTGTGTTTGTCATCTCTGCTGTTGTTTTGTTCAGGACTTGGGGGTTTGCTGGAATTGCTAATTTGCTGAGCTCTCTGAGAAGAAGTTCTGAGTTTGCAGCCAGTAGCAGGGCTCACTCGCCTGGTGCCTGATGCAGAGGGATGGCCAAGTTCTTACGGAAGCTGAGCGAACAGACCTGCTACAGACAGGATGCAGCATTTCTTGCTGGATCAAGTTTTGTGTCTCTGAAGCTTGTCTAGTTTCTTTCCCAATTTTATCAGTCTTTCTAATAAAAGCTATTGTCTCTCCTTCCAAACTTTGACTTGCTTTTATAGCCTTACTCTGTTGCAGTTACAGTGCAGCCAATGGAATATCGATGAAGAAAGTAGCACCTTTGTCTTACTTCTTTTCTTTTATTCCAGGACATCTGCACAGGGGCAGAATTAAGGTAGTTTGGGTGCTTGGTTTGAGAACTGCAAATGTAATGCTGCATTTTCCAAATTTCTAACATTTGAACTTTTTTTTTAACCTTTAATTTTTTTGAGAATAAAAGCTCTTCTGTGAAGAACATGTGCTTGCAACCTTAACTTCACTTAACAGAGGTTTATATTGCATGATGGGAACATCTTACTACTTCAGTAGTGTACTGGAGAGGGGAAGAAACATTAGGGAAAACCACTGCCTCTTTCCTGTCTCAGCCCTGCCTCACATGAGTCCCCAAGGGCATGTTTGCTGATCAGATATTGAGGGGGAAAATGAGTAGCAACCTCCCACTTTTGGACATCGGGAAGGACTGAAGAGCAGGGAATTTACTTGGGCAAAGACAGCTGAGTGAGTCTGATGGGGATTTTTGGGACACATTGGGACATTGGGACACACAGCAGAACCTGTTCTCACCACTCAGTCTCTGACTCTCCTCTCAACAGGGCCTTGTGTTTTTTGTCTTCTTCCATTTAGGATGCCTGGGTTTTTAGAGGGGGTGTGCAAGTAAGCAAGCTTTCAGCTGGGATATCAAAGCTCCGGGGAGTAGAGAAGGCAGTGATCTCTGCCAAATGCATTAGTGAGGAACGTTAAAGAAAAACACCAGGTGGTGGGTTACAGAGAAATTGTATTACGTGCCCCTGGCCTTTAGTCCTGGTCATAATGAATTTGGTAACTGCTCAGCCACAGGTTTGGTGTTGTTCTTGGTTGCTGTAGGTGCCTGCCAAATCCTGACAGTCAGACTGGGCACTGGCCCTTAGAATGTATTTCAGTGAGCCATTGGAGAGTGGGAACAAAAATGAAAGGGCAAGTACTCTTCAGAGTAGAGCCTCTCCTCTCAGAAAATTGGCATATTTGGTGTTTGTGATTTGAGGGAGTTGTACAATATTGTTTTTGCCATGTTGTGCTCTATTTGTCTCCTGCAAGAGGCTCTCCTGGTGACTGGCTCTGTTTCTCTCTCATCACAGACTGCTCTATGGACCTGCAGTGCCCCCCAGCTCCTGTGGCCACTTCCATCCCTGTGAATGAGGGGCTGGCCCCTTTGCCTCCTGACTCAGATGCAAAGGGCTTGCCCACCTCGCTTCCTGCTGCCAGCTTGCTCCCGTCTCCAGACTGTGTACCCTTGCCAGTGCCTGAGAACACAGAGGACTTCACAGATGGGGACATCATTGGGGAAGAACTAGACTCCCTCCTGGATTCACTTGCTGAAGGGACACCATACCCTCTGGTAAGAGCGGGTGCTGCATGTGTGTGCTGCTTCTTTGTTCCTTGGAAGTCCTTGGAGCATGAGATGTGCATGCTGCCCCTCATTCTCTTTCTGTAATTCTTTTCTCCTATCTATTCCTCTGGAAAAACTCATTCATTCTTTCCTTTATTTCTGCTGCTGGAGTACGTAAAGTCCTTCTCCAAGCATGCTTTGCTGTGTGCAGCTTCAGGGAGCTGCCTCTCAAAATATACCCAAGGTAGCCCTTCCCTGACATCATCTTCCACCTGGTCTCTCATGTCTGTGAAGTTGAAGGAAGTAGTAGTCTGAGAGTAGTAAAAGGAGTATGGTGAAGAAGGAATGATGGATGTATTTTATGCAGTGGGCATACTCTAATCTCCTTGTATTTTGTGCCGGTTGCACTCAGCCTAAGCTCATTGAACAGGTCTGGGAGCTGCATAAACAATCTGTATTCATACTTATGTTGGATTTTAGTTGCCAGTGTTGCTTATGTGACCCACCTTGGGTCTGGAGGCGGTATAATGACTTTCATGTTGGAAAAGCCCTGGTGAGGGGTGCCACAGGTTGTGGTCATTACCCTGACCTTTGCACTGGGTGTACGCAGCTGCCTTGTCTCTCAACCTGAGCTAGTTTAAGTGCCCAGCGCAGGGCACTGCCTTGCAGACTAATGAGCTCAGGTATCTCAACACCTCCTTAGAGATCCTGGTCCAGATTGTTTGCAGTACAGAAAAATTGGGAGGACTGTGGAAAGTCTGCAGGTGGATTGAGCTGCCAGGTATCCTTTTGCTCCAGCTAGTACAACACGCCCTTCACTGGGAGCCTGTTGCTCTCTGTTGTCATGGTTTGACCCCAGTCAGCAACTAAGTACCAGACAGCTGCTCACTCACTTTCTTCCTGCCCCTTCCCCAGTGAAGAGGATAATTGAAAAAAACCCAAACTTGTGTCTTATCTTGTAGCTTAAGATAAGAATAGCTTAATAATTGAAACAAAATAAAATACAATATTAACAACAACAATAATAATAGAAAAGGAGAGGGAGGAATAAAACCCAAGAGAAACAAGTGATGCACAGTAGAGCAGCTCACTACTTGCTGACCAGTGCCCAGCCTTCCTTAAGCAGCAGTCAGTGACCCTGCCCAACTTCCCTCAGTTTATATCCTGGGCATGATGTTCTGTGGTATGGAATATCCCCTTGGCTTGTTCAGATCAGCTCTCCTGGCCATGTTCTCCCCCATCTTCTTGTGCACCTGCTCACTGGCAGAGCATGGAAAATGGAAAGTCCTTGACTTTGAGTAAGCATGACTTAGCAATAACCCAAACATCAATGTGTTATCAACATTATTCTCATGCTAAATCCAAAACACAGTGCTGTACCAGCTACTAAGAAGAAAATTAACTCTGTGCTGGCCAAAACCAGGACATCTCTTTTCAGTCTTTGCTCCTCAATACTAATTCGCTATTTTTCCTCCTTCCTGCTCCCCTGCAGTCTCTGGTCCAGGGCACCATTCCCACCAGCCTACCAACAGAGATGCCCCAGTTGATTCCTGTGTTTCCGGGGGGAACTCCGCTGCTGCCTCCAGTTGTGACAGCCAGCATCCCTGTCTCTACCCCTCTGCCACCTGCCTCCTTTGGCCTGGTGATGGATCCCACCAAGCAGCTCTCCTCCTCCTCTGTCCTGGATGCCTTCGAGGCCCCACCAGGAGGAAGTGGCGGCTCCACTTTAGATTCGCTGGATTCCCTGGATCTGCTTCCATACACAGATACAAGGCTTGATGCCCTGGACTCCTTTGGGACAAGCAGGAGTTCGCTGGATACCTTGGATTCCTTTGCCATTGGTAGGTGCAGGGTGATGTGGCTTTTTGTTGCCTTAGCTGTGAATGCATGCCAGAATTATTTCCTTCAATGCTGAGGACATATGTCTTGTAGCTTTCTCTGCTAGTGTGGCAGAACAGGAATATAAATGTAGAAGAGAGCAGTGAATTGTCTTGGACAGAGTAACTGATAATGTTTAGCTCAAAAGTAATGAGAAAAAGCTAGGTATGTTATCCCAGATAACCAGTACCTGCATGGAGTGAAATTTTAAGAGGAGAAAGGAACATCAGGGTGTATAATGATGAATGATGAGATTTGAACTTGCGTTGGTGTCCAGAACACCTCCCTTGGCACAATTTGCTGGACTATATCATGTTTCCTACACCTTCCTTCTCAATGACTCTGACATTTTGCACAAAGTGAGCAGGATGGTGATGACTGTTTTAGATGATGCAGGACCTTGTTGTGCTGGGCAGAATGGTAGAGGCCAAGGTAGGTCCTTCCCATCTCTAGATTCAGGGCAATGAGTGTCCTCTTGAATGGGGCTCTGAACTCTCTTGTCATAAGGAGAAAAGCTGTGGAGGATGGTGGGCAAAGACTAAGTTGATTCCTGTTCAGGAGGGAAGTGGGCTTATTCTTGGTTAATTTGTTCCCAGTATTGCAGTATATTGGCAACAAAAGTATTTTGAGAACAGCAGAGATTGGCCAGTCAGCACTGGAACACTCACATTCACCTCAGCTTTGGGTTGCCACTTTAGTTCTCAGCAGCAAAGAGTTGGGTTCAGTAGGATTTTGGGGACAAGAAAGCATTTCCTAGAGTTTTTCTGAGTATAGACAGATGCTTTGGGAAGAAAGTAGAACTTTCTTTGTGAGAAGAACTGCCTCTGAGAGGGAAATGATTGTTTTTGTTTTGTGGGGCTCTTTTCCCCTTCTTTTGCCCAGAAGAAACTAGCTCTCAGGAACTGCGACACCCACCTGGCAGCCAAAAACCAGCCCCAGTGGTGAGTGAGCTACTGCCCCGTGCTGACGTCCCAGGGTGCTCTGGAACCAAGGTAGTAGTGGTGGTGGTAGTGGTCACTTGGGTAATGTAGGTAATTTGGGCCCCTCCTCTTACCCTGCCCTGGTGAGTGTTGCCTCCCATGTTGTGGCAAGGCAGGTAAAGATTCCCACTGAGTCAGCAGGAAGACATTTGTCCCATCTTTGTTTTTATCCATAACTCCATATTGCCAAGGTAAACGTGGTGTGACCAAGGCTGTAGGGTCAGCAGGGGGTCAGGGAAGCCAGGATCCCACTGGATCTGGCAGCCACATAATGCTCAAGGATGGGGCAGACTAAGCCAACTTCAACTTCAGGCTACTGAAGTTCTTTGTTGCTCTCTGCCCCGTCAGGAGACTTCTCCACATGTTCTGCCTCTGTCCTATATCTCCAGTCTTTGAGAAAAAGGGGAGGATTAGTAAACTTGGAACAAAAGTTATTCTTGAGTTCCTGTCACCTGCTGGCCCTGTTAACATTAATGTGAATACCCCTGAAGATTGACTGATAAGCAGTTTGGGTTTTTTCGTAGCTTGGGATAAGGTTGATTTAAAAGTCTTTCATTGCAGAGTAGATTGTGATGGAAGGAACGGGAAGGAGTGAGGAGGGCATTTTGTTCTGTGGCTCGTGATAGAAAACTGAGGTCTCTTACCAGTAGGAAAGAGGCCTGTCTTTGAAGTGAACACACCACAGTGTTCATTCTCTTTGAAAAAGTTGCAGTCATCTCTTGGAAATGTCATTTCAGATGTGAACGTTATGATGAGAGAGGAAATGAGAAAGGTTTTGAGAGACTGGAGTGGGGCAGGGGTTGGAGAGGTCTCTTGCCTGTGTGGTTGCAGAGCTGAACAGAGAGGTGTGTGTGTTTTCACTCAGGTCAGCCTTGGTGGAGGGAGTCACCCAGCTGTGCCCAAGGCCACCGAGCACCTGCTGTCCCAGCCAGAACCAGTAATGCCCAACACAGCTCTGCTGGTGAAGAACCCCCTGGCGTCTACTCATGTTTTCAAACAAGCCTGTCATATCTGCTACCCCAAAACAGGTGATGCATTTGCTCTGCCACCAGAGCACTGGCACAGACTAGGAATTGGCTTTCCCCAGGCTGATGGGGTTATTCTCTCTGGCAGGGCCCAAGGCTGGTGATTACACCTATCGGGAAGGCTTGGAGCACAAGTGCAAGCGGGACATCCTGCTGGGCAGGCTGAAGAGCTCTGAAGATAAGACCTGGAAGAGGATCCGTCCTCGCCCAACCAAAACCAACTTTGTAGGATCCTATTATCTGTGCAAAGGTGATCTGTGGCAGTTGGTCGCTGGGAAAGGGCTGTGCCAGGGGAGACTGGGAGGGAAATTCTGTTTGATGTTGCCTGCTGGCTCTAGGGTGTCCTGTTTCATCAGTAGCCTATGGACTGGATGGCTCAGTACAGTGAAGGGCAATGAGCTGCCATATTGTGGAGAGCAGGCAGCATCTAAAGTGGTGGAGCAGAAGAGTTCCAAAGGCTCAGTGAGTTGAGTGCTCAGAGCTGCTCTGCTGACATGGGCTTTACTGGGAACCTGCCTCCTGTACATGTGCTCACATTAGTCCCACTCAACCCAGCTCCCCATGGCAGGGCCGTGGTTCTGCCTAGGGAAAAGCATTCTCTGCCTGCTCCTTTGCTCCAGCCCATCCCACAGTACATGCAGGCAGTGTGACCAAACTGGTATCCCAAGGCAGTGTCATTACAAAGTACCTAATGAGTGGGGAGATTGCAAAAGCCAAGCTAAAATGGCTCCTTACTGCTGGGCCTATGGGAGAACTTCATCTGTATTTGCTTTAAAAGGAGTTAGATAAGTCATTATTCAGGCCAGGCACTGAATGAAAGCTGGCCTCTTGTTTTGAGACAGTTTCCTTCATAGCAGCATTACTGGAGATTGTCACCATTCAGTAGTTTGCATTAACTCCTGAATGTCTTGATATAGGTGAACTTGGGAGGAGATGTCTTTTCATTCTTCTTTTAGCTCTCTCTTTTCTTGCTTTCAGTTCCATGTGAGGCATGGGCAGTGGGAGAAGACAAGACAGAGTTTAGTTTCTGACTGGGCCGCCCTGCCTGTGTGGTGGTGTGTGCTGTTTGTTGCTTTGTAGATATGCTTAACAAGCAGGACTGTAAGTACGGGGATAACTGCACCTTCGCGTACCACCAGGAAGAGATCGACGTGTGGACGGAGGAGAGGAAGGGGACCCTCAACCGTGACCTCCTCTTTGACCCGCTAGGTGGGATCAAGCAGAGCAGCCTCACAATTGCCAAGCTCCTCAAGGAACATCAGGGCATCTTCACCTTCCTCTGTGAGGTACAGAACTGGTGGGAGGGGGCAGGCATCCATCATCTCTTCAGTATGTGTCTGGACCACTGATATGTTGGTAGTTGCCACCACGAAAATATGGTGTGATGACTTTCACAACTTGCAATGGAAACTCTTCAGGAGGGACAGGTGAGGAAGGAGAGGCAGTGGGGGAGCCCTGTGTGTTAGGGAGTGTTTTCACTATCTAGAGTTTAATGATGATGAAGATAGGCTTGAGTGGTTATGGGTAGGAGCTGGGGGAAGGCCAATAAGGTGAGAGTCTGTTACAGGCCACCCAACCAAGGTGAAGAGGCAGACAAAATATTCTGTGGGCAGATGGGATAAATCTCATCATTGCTGGCCCTTTTTCTTGTGGGGAACTTCAACTTACCAGGTGTCTGCTGTAAGTACAGCACAGCAGAGAAGAAACAGTCCAGGAGGTTCCTGGAGTGTGTGGAAGAGAACTCCTGACACAGCTGGTGAGGGTGACAACTAGGGAAGGCATCCACTGGGTCTGGTGTTTGTGAACAGAGAAGGACTGGTGGGTGATACAATGGTCGGAAGCCCTCTTGGGCACAGCAATCATGCAATGGTAGAGTTTTCAGTTCTTTGAGAAATAAGGAGAGGGGTCAGCAGAGCTGCCACCTTGCCACTTCACCTTCTGAAGGGCAGACTTTAGCCTCTTTAGGAGCCTGGTTGGCAGAGTACCTTGGGAGGCAGTCCTGAAGGAAAAAGAGTCCAGGAATGTTGGACATTCTTCAAGAAGGAAATTTTAAAGGTGCAGGAGCAAGCCATCTGTGACTCTGTGTGTCCTAGCCAGTGTCCTGCTCCCAGAAGGACAGTGAGCATTGTACATAGGAGTGTGCAGGAGAAAGGAGTAGTTTCCCTCCTTAGCCCTGCAGCTGAACCAGGTGCCCACAGCCTCATGGGATCACCTGTCTCTTCCCCTATCTTGACATACTGCTTTGAATTGTAATTTAGCCCCAGTTACTTTAGAAATCGGAATTCCGTAATGCAACAAATTCCCGCTTGATGTCTGTGCAGAGCTACTGAGTTGGTCAGTTGAGAATTGCTTTATACCACCTTAATGCTCTGCAGCACAGTTTCCCATGTTGGCAGTGCATGCAAAGGGATGTGTTCTTTGCTGTGAAGTGGCTGTTCTTTTTTCTCCCTTGTTCTTGTTCTGTTGGCTAACAGGGAAAGAATATGCGGCTCTGACCAAAATTTTTCCAACCACAATGGAAAATACTGTGGAGAATAAGCCAAAAAATGTTGTCCGGAAGCTCTTGCAGAGATTGACTTGCTTTATTTTAAGCCCTACCACAAAGTTTTCACCACACATCTTTTTAACTTTGAACATTAGAATAGGCTGGCTCTGGTTCTTCTTTCTCCTCTAAGTGAAGTCGCTCTGGTTCACTGCTCTCTAAGATTTTCCCAGTGTGCTACTTCTTCTCTTCTCAGATTTGCTTTGACAGCAAACCCCGGATTATCAGCAAAGGGACCAAGGACACACCATCTGTCTGCTCCAACCTTTCTGCAAAACACATTTTCCATGACAACAAGTGAGTGAACAATTTTTTCTCCTGATGGGAACCATGTCTCACAAGTCCAGCCAGTTTAACTCCAGGGCTCTGGTCTCTTTCTTCTTTCTTCCCTATGGATTCCAATCATAGGACAGCTCAAATCATGATAAATAGCACTATGGGCTTCACCCTGCATGTTTGCTTCTGGTACTGAGGGATTTCAGGCATCAGCAAAGCCCTTTGGAGTCACTCTGTTAATAAGTTTTCCATTGACTTAATTTGACTTTCAGTTTGGCCTTTACAAAAAGGTCAAAACAAAGATCCTCCAGCTCAGGATCCTGCCTCTGACTGTCTAGTAATGAATGTTCAGGAAAACAAGTATAACAAACATGTCAAGTACAGAGTCATACAATTCCTTCTGGTTCCTGCCAACCTCAGCTGTGGGGAGATGCTGAACCAGAGGACTTGGTATCTTTGCTGCATATTTTTAAACTTGTCTGCTCTCTGAACTTAGGCAGAGCATCACTCATGTGCTCAGGGTGAAAATAACTACCCAGGCTTGATAGGGTGTGAGGGCAGGGGTTTGCTTTCCCCAGAGGGAATCTGTCTCTCCTGGTGTCGATTTTCGTGTGTCCTTTGCCTGCCCAGTCAAATGTCTGTATGTCATATGTAAGGAGGAGGGGGGAGGGTTTGATCCTCTGGTGCTTTGTATTTTTCTGCAGGTGTCTGGTCCACATTGTGCGTTCCACCTCCCTGAAATATTCCAAGATCCGTCAGTTCCAGGAGCACTTCCAGTTTGACGTGTGCCGACACGAGGTGCGTTACGGCTGCCTGCGTGAGGACAGCTGCCACTTTGCTCACAGTTTCATTGAGCTCAAGGTCTGGCTGCTGCAGCAATATTCAGGTGAGTGGGACTTGGCTGGTGTTGTGTACACCTGAGTTTCTTCCAGTGTGTACCCAGGGCCAGTTGAGAGGGGCAGAAGGTGGTTTGGGACTACTGAGAAGGTGTCGCTCCTCCTGCATGTTACTTACTCTGCCTCCTCAGGGACACAAAAGAGAGGACCAAGGTGTTCTGTGAGGTGATTTGGTCCTTGTCCATTTATAGAAACAGGGCCATTATAATTTGCAGACCAGAAAACCTTTCCCTTGGGACCAGCTGAATAAAATTAAAATAATTAGGAAGATAGAGCTGAATCCCAAGAGCTGTTTGGTGCTTAGATCTTGTGCAAATAGCAGCTGGACCCCTGAGTGAACATGTCTTGCAGTGAGAATGGCAGCACAGGTGATGAAGCAGTTGGTTGTATAAAGAAGGCTGTGAATCTCCAGTTTCTCAAAACAAATTCACCAACAGCAGGAAATCGCAAGATACTTGGTATTTCCCAAAAAGCCTTTGATGGCATGCCTCAGGAGAGGGTTTTATGGAGATTATACTCAGGGAAATCATATAGTGACGTTGCCACATCTGGCACTTTCAGTCCTGTCACTTTGTCTCATCTGATATATTGGAGGTTTTCTCTGGCTGCTGGCCTGTTGGCTGTGTAGATATTAGTCCACCCATAGTGCTACCTACATGTTTTTTCACCACAGGGTCTCATTCAGTGCAGCACCCAGCCTGGTAATGGGAGTACTTCAGAGAGGAAACATATTATGCATGTTTCTCACTATTCTTTGATGTCATAATTGATGTTCAGTGCAGTCCTTGGCCTTGGCTTCAGCTCATGAGGGAGAGTGATGAACAAGGAGCACACTGTGGCAAATGGCATCTTTAATCTTTCTGTTTGCCCTCATTTACTTGTGGCCTCAGAAAATTAAAAAATTACAACTCTGGAATTTCTAAGATAGCACATTGCCTGTGAGTCATGGGCCACCATTGCTGCCCTACGTGCTTGTGATACAGCTCATTGTAGTCTGGGCACTCTAATATTCAAGTACCTTGCTTTTATTTGCATCCCATGGTTGGTTTATTTTAGTTGTTTTGGTCAAGTTTTGTTACTTGAAAAGCTTCTTTGCTCCCTTCTTCCTTCCCTCTGTGTTCCTTCCTCTTCATCCTGCAGAACAAACAAACTGATTTTTTTTCTTCTTTCCTTCTTTATTTGAAGAAATCATTTCAAAGGGAAAGCTGAGGAGATGAAACAAGCCATGAGTTAAGCTGCAGAGTTGATCACTAAGCCTTGTGCTTAATGATCCACCGTTTCCAACAATAGGAGAGACATTATCTTGTGGGGCTTTTTTCTGCAGGGCTGTATATATGAGCCTGCTTTCCTTGTTAGTTTGCCTCTCTCAAGTGTAGCCTTCATTATGGAAACTGAGATTAAAGGTAGTTGTTGCCATTCTCTGGGAATACTTTAGCTTTGGAGCAGGGAGTTTCATTTGAGCACTCTTTGCTCAGCAAGAATAGGAAGAGGGCAGCTTACATTTGAAACACTTCACAGCCATTTGAGCATTTACAGAGCTTTTGGCTTTGTTCATGGGGATAAAGGATTGTATTAGTGGAGTAAAGGTTCCCAAGATCTGAAAATTGGACAGGCAGGACTGTTTTCTTGTTCACTGTGGCTTTTCACAGGCATCTCTTGCTATCTTCTTCAACCAGTGGTAATAACAGACTCTTTGTCTTCACTAGTGATATTGCAAAAGATGCCGAAATATTACAAGTAATCAACACATGGGCCTTTTGGTTCCCAGCTCATTTCTTTGTGACAGTTCCTGCTTTGAAAAGCTGGCAGATTGGAAACCATCCTTTCACATTTGTGAGGGTTTTTCTTTCCCAACCACCACATTTCTAGACTGTATTGTTGAGATAGTTCAGAATTCTAGAACTGGAAGAAGGCAGTCACAAGAACTATGTTTGAAATTCAGTTTTCTGACAAGACCTGTATATGCGTCTCCCTTTGGTTCTGCACCCCATGGATCACAGGTGTGCAGAATGGAGAAGGTGGGAGCTGCTTCAGACCTTTTCCAGCCAGGTCCAGTGCAGCGTGTAAGTTTTTTGTTGTGGTTTTCCCAGATTTAGAGTTTTTATTCCCAAAATACAAATCATCATTGTGTCTGACCCTGGAATACTTGGACATGGAAGAGGAAGTTGCAGTTTTTCTAACTCTACACCATTTCTTCTGGGATTAAGGGTTAAGAGGTAGACTATTCACCAACATCTCTGATCTGTGAGCAATACCAGTTATGCAGTAGCTGCCATTTTAAAGACCTGAGCAAATGTTCTTGACGAATGGTGAAGTTTTCTGAGTGCTTTTCATCCTGTTCAAAGCCTGTGCAAATAGCAGCCGAAATCAGAGACAGGAAAACTGAGGTCAGGAATGCTGTGACTTACTCAAGCTACACACAGCCTAAGCTGAGATGAAAACTTTGTTTAGTGGCCCTTAAGTTCTGGAATGTGCTGTCTCCCAGATCAGTGATTATGTTCATGTAATACTCCTGGGGAACACCTCACTTAAGTAATAAAAGCTGTAGGCATCAGCAAAGCAACCAAATGTGCAATGTTTGTGTCCTGGGGATGCTGCATCATGGCCATCCTCAGCACCCCCCTTGCAATCGGCTCCCTGTGAAAGATATTTGCTTCAGTTTGTTTTGGCAGCTGTCTTGGGTCTTTAGAGCACTTAATAATTCGAATGCGCATCTAGCTGGCTGGTGCTAACAGAGGCTGTTCCCTCACCACTTGAGCTGGTCAGGAGCTAATTCCTTAGATAAGGTCTGACCAATCCTTTTTCTTGTTGTCTGATGTTGTATTTCTGATATCTGAGACCTTGCAGATCTTTCCTTGCTGGTTATTTACTAGCAGCTGTTCCTTGGTTAGTTTTGCACTGCTGCCTTGCTTGTGCTTGGCATCTATTTGTGTTGAATTTCACCTTTCTCTTTGCCTATGGGGGGCCCTCTCAACTTGAAGGTGTAACAGGCTAATTAATCCCAGCAGGTAATAGGTGAGACTTCTGGGGTCTTGCAGATGCTAGATGTCTCAGTGGGTGTCTGTGATCCTCCAAGCTAGAAGCAAAAACTCCATGTACAGTAGATCAATACTAACAAAGCATTGCCTTTAGGACCTTGGTAAAATCTGCTGATATGGGGGTCGGGGACAGCCTTGGTCAAGCTCTTGACCCTTGTGAAGAATTATTGGCTTGGAAGCAGTGTCTGGGTTCTTTGCAGACTGCCTGAGCAGAAAGTCAAGTCTGAACAAGTCCAGGAGACTGAACTCTTCTTTTGTTTTGCTTGTGTAGAGAGTCTGAACAAGTCCAGGAGACTGAACTCTTCTTTTGTTTTGCTTGTGTAGAGAGGAGCTTGCTTAGCAAGGGATTAGACATATTCTGTGGCGCATTCTGTCACAACTCAGTCCTGATATTACCAGGGGGACTGCTGGGAGCTGTCAGCTACTCAGGGGTTACTAAGCCCAAACTAAAAAGTCATGCAAGCCCTCCCTCTCTTCTCTTGGCCAAAGGAGTGTAGCTCAGTTCTGTCTCCTTTTTGTTCCCAGGAATGACCCACGAAGATATTGTGCAGGAGTCCAAGAAGTACTGGCAGCAGATGGAGGCACATGCCAGCAAACCGGCCAACAGCGTGGTAAGTAAGGTCCATCGAGGGCTTGGAGGCAGATTTTGCTCCCAACAGTTCCAGCCCTTTCTCTCTTTTCCTCCCATGATTGTGCCTGACAGGTCCCAGGCAGACCAGGCTGGCCAGGTGAGGAGAGCTGAGGTGGAGGAGATCTGAGAGCTTTCCTGGTTGCAGTGCTGATGTTGAGCTTTGTGCTTTGTTTTGCAGTGTTGTGATCTGCTCTGTTCCCTGCTAGGGTGAAGCCTCCAGGTCACCGAGGGCAACACACCCGAGAATGTTGTTTCCTGTGACACTTGATGGTGAAACTAGGAGATTTTGGGGCAGTGGTCACATAGTGGGGACCAAATGTGTCCTGCTGCCCTTTAGTGGCCAAGGGGCAGTAGAGCAGTTTGAAGGACTTCTAAGGAATGACTCATGATGTCTGATCTGAATGCAGGAGTGGGTGGAACTGGCAGCCCAGGTGCTGTTGAGGCTGACAGAGACCTTAGTGGTGCTTTACCAGGAGGAGGCTGAGAGCTTTGCCTTTTTTTTTGCCACCAGTCTCTCAGTGTGGAGGGCTGAACCCTCCAGCACTGCCAAGAGCATACCAGGGTAGTGTGAGAGGGTTAGAAGCAAAGGGCTTTTTCTTTCTTTGCTTTTCTCTGTCTTGTTGGCTATGGGCAGTTCTGTCTTATTATTTTTTTTTTATCCCAGAGGGGATTTCTGTACTGTAGGAGCAGAGCCCACCCAGTGAAGACAGTTCCCAGTCCTGAGGTTGAACTAAAGCACTTTGTGCCATTAGAACTGGACAATGGTGGGGAAAGTGGTGTAAATCCTTTTTGTTCCCATTTGACAGCTTTCTTTAACCTTGGCAAACCTGAGCTTGCCATCCCTTGGCCTGTGCCTTACTGTCTCAGCAAGAGTGTTTCACCTTTGTGTGGGATCTGTCACCCAAGAGTTCCTCTGCAGAGACCAAGTACAGCCTGTGAGCACCCTGTGGAGGATGTCTTTTATAGGAGAGGAATCTGAGTCACTCATGTGATGTTTAGCTGCTGTTTTTTGTCTTGGTTGTGTGCCATCAGAAGTGTTCTTCAGGCTGCTGGGGAAGCATCTGTGGGAAGGTCTGATGGGCATAGCTCAGCCTAACAGAAAAGATGCAGGTGACTGCACTGACACTTGTAGTGGGCTCTGTGTCCACCTATGCGCTGGTTATGCTGCATGAGATGGATTCATCTTCAAGGGGATGCTCAGCAATAAACCTGTGCAGCTGTTGTGGTCTGAAACAGTTGGAGGAGAGGAATGGGAAGCAGCAGTCCAGAATAAGCAAGAATAACCAAGGTCTGTAGGTCCCAGGACTGTCTGACTTGCTTAAGGAATATGTTCTAACCTCTCAGGAAGCTGAGCAGGACAAGTTTCTACATCCTGTATTATATGAGAAGTGGATGATCTGAATGCTCCCTGCAACCAGAGCTGGCTGTGATCTCTTTCTGCCTGGTGTGGGGACAGAAGCAGTGGCATGCATCTCCACATGGGAGGAAACTAGATGTGAATTTGCAGCAGATTGTGACAGCAGTTGAATTTATATCAGCAATCCCTGCTCCATATGTGCCTTGCAAGAGCACAGTCCAGAGATTGGTTCTGTTCTGCCTGCTGTGAATTTCCCCGCATTTTCAAGAAATCTCTGTCTTGCCATTCTCTGTGCGTAATGAGGGGATTAAAGAAAAGATAAATGGACAGCTGTTTTCCTGTAAGCCTTGCAGCTTCAAATTCACCTTTGTCTGGAGGTGCTGCTGCTGGAAGAATAAGCTGTACAGCAGGCATGGTCAGAGCATGTCCTCTGAAGCATGTGGGATCTGGATGCTAAGTGAGGGCTCCATTTCTGGCTGCTGGGGTTTGCAAGGGGCAGAGGATCAGGAAAGGAAATGCCAGAGCCTGCTAAATCAGGGGATGGGTAGAGAGCTACAGTGTCTGGGCCCTGTGGACAGTGCTAGGGCTAATGACCAATGGCAAAGTCTGGCTGTGCCTCACAAATGCCTGTCACAGAGCTGACTGCACCCACAGCCCTTCCAGGGTGCAGAGGCAAAGCAGTAGCCATGTTGGTACGGTGAGAAAGTGCCTCCCAGCAGCACTATCAGCCGTCCCTAAGGATTGGCAGCCTGGCACTGGCACTGTGCAGGGAGACAGTCAAGTCAGTCAGATGCATGTGTTTGCAGTAGCACACCATGGCTTTGGCAGCAGCACGTCCTCAGCCAGAGGGCTGTGCTCTGGGATGAGACTCGGGCTTGCTGCCGAAGGCCCTGTGGGCAGGACTCGCTATCTGCTGAGAGATGTTGACTTTTGCCATTGTTTTCTCCTGTCCAGGCAGGCTAACATGACTCAGAGTTTTCTCAGCAGCCTTCCAGCTTTCAAAGTTGGCTGCCTGGCAAAGACAACTTCCCAGGAGTGCTGTAAAAACAGACCCCTCCTTCCCACCATCCCGTGTGATCCACTCTCACTCCAGTGCCCTCTGGTCAGCGGAAACGAAGTCACTCTGGGGAATTTTGCTGCAGTTTTGTCACAGCTGCCAGCTGGACTCAGCACCCAGGGCTGTCCAGTATGGAGAAAAGAGGCAGGCAGCATGCAGGGGCCCAGTAGCTGTGACAGTGAAGGTCAGGAGGCTTTGCAAGAAATGAAAAATGAAGATACGCTGCTTGCCAAGCACCTGCCAGGAATCTTGCACTTGGCCCCACAAATTTGACCTCACAGCAGCTGCTGTAGGAGGAAAGCCACAGACTGAAGAGCCACAGATTGAAGAGCCAGTCTGCAGGAAGGGCTGTTGCAGGGAGCTGGGTGTCCTCTCATCGCATCCTAGCAAACTGAGGGGTTGTAGCCCTCATTTTTTCTGGTTTTCAAGAGCTGCTTTGTTTTTATTCCCCTAGCCTGCACCAGAATCCCCATGAAAGCTCACCTCAGAATTATCAATTTAAGTATGGAGAGGAAAATACCTCTCCATTAAGGAGTACTTGCACCTAAGTACTACTCAGTTAGGTGGCTGAGTAACCTGGGCTCCTCATACAGTCCCCTGAGGTGTGTGGCTCCTCCTGAGAACATTTCAGTATCACTTAGAGGAGTTCCTGAGGATGGGAGACATGAATGGCCGTGCAGGGTCTGTTGCTTTCTGCAGAGCCTGAAGTAGAGAGCTGCCGTGCCAGAGACTTGTATTTATTTGGTTGCCATGGAGCACAGCTAGCACTATATTGTCTGGCTTCATAGCAAGGGGCGGTGCCATAGCCCACGGCACTTGTGCCTGGCTTCGTCTGCTGGAGCCTCATGTGATATAATTTCCACACTGTTGGTTATCAGCAGCCTGCCAGGTATGTGTCTTGCCTTTACAAATACAGTCATGTAGCATTAACAGGAGCCGCTTTGAATTTCTGCTTGGTTCCTAATCCCCTGGGAGCACACATGCCCGCTGGATTGACCAGCGGTTTGCATGACTCAGATGAAGAAATGCACAGGGCTTCTTTTGGTTAAGAATTTGTGGAAAAAGCAGCCCAGATTACCAGAACTACCTGAGAGATATTTTCTTTCTCCCTGATCTCTTGTCTCTTCTGCAGACACTCAGTGTTTAGTTTTGCTGGGTCAGTAGGTTTGAGCTTCCTGGCTGTGCTGAGAGAGATGTCACCAGAGGATAGCATGGGGTTGATAAAAGGGAATATGCCAGCAGTGCCATTTTGTTACCATAGGCCTATTGGTGTGATGGGTCAGTGGTGAGCGGTCGTGGAATTTCCTTTGGAGACAAAGTGGAGATTAAAGCTACTGTTGAAAGGCCACATATCTGAGAGGGAGGCACCTTATTACCTTTCATGCTAGCCCAAATCTCAACTCTGCTCATCTCACAGCCAGCCACTTTGAAGTGTTCTTGGTGGTCACCAGCACAGGTGACAGCTGACAGCAAGTGGTGAACGAGTCATGTGCTGGGAGCCACCAGAAAGGTCATTCTCCCAGATGAGAGATCTCCCTCTTTCAAAATAGATTATCTCTTTCAAAAGAGATGCTGGTTCTCTCAGAGGGTCCTTTTGCTGGGACATCAGAGAACTGATGGCCTCATGTGTGCAGCACAGGTGAGGTCAGCTCCCCAGTCAGCTTTTCACAGTGACAGAGGACTCTTTATATGCCAGCTCTGGTTCTCCAAAAGACTGTCTGGAGGATGCAGAGTGGTAGTTGATAGCTGATGTGGTGTCTCCTGGGAAATGCTTCGATTCTGTGCTGCTTGTGCTTGCTGTTTTCCCTTCACCAGGGGGTGCAGCCAGGCTCCAAGCTGCTGCTAATCAATTGCTGGCAGAAACCTGCTCTTCAGGGGCACAGCTGGCATGTCTGGTTATTGTGAGATGCGTAGGGTTAAAGTCAAGGCATGGCAGGTGGCACAGGCTGCTGGTGTGGCTGACAGTCAGAGAATTGTTCTGCTGGTGCATGACCTTTGTGCTTCATGGCCAGCCCAATGACCAGGGTGTTATCTTGTACTCTCACATACTCCTGTGCCCAGGGCCACTGGCATCCAGTCGGGTTTATTTTTTGGTTTGGAAATGAACTGGAGACACCAGCGTCATGTTCTTCCAGTGGTGATAGAAAATGCAAACAGTTTTCCAAAGATTTGCTCAGAAAACATGAGGAAGTGATATGAGATTGGCTCCTTTTCTTTTCCTTCTCCACAATCTGTTAGTCATAATCCCAAACTAGCCTTTTCAGGTGGGGTGGGGGCAATAAGTGCAATGGCTGACAAGATATGAAATATGTGCATTGTACCTCTGTCCAGAGACTGTGCTTCAACTGCTTGTGAAATGCAGTGCAGAGGAACTGTGAGAGACAGAAACCTGCCCAGAAAAGGCTTGGAAGGCTATCAGCAAGAGGACCCAGCTCTGACTTCATTGTGTCAAATGTTAGGTGTGACACAAAGTTCTTGGTGCAAAAGCAGGAGTTTTGTGTCCTGCGTTGTGATATGGTCCAGCTTCCTCCCAAGGGGCCTCTCTTAGCTGTGTGACCAAGGGCTCTCCACAGGCAGTGGGACATGGATTGCCCTCTCTGCAGGGAAGTGGGGATTAAGCGCTGGGGCAAGTCTCACAGAGCTTGTCTGTACACAGAGGTACACAGCCAGGGTTTCACAGCCAGGCCTGGTCAGTGCTGGAAGCTGCCAGGCTGTCTGTGCTTTTGGCCAGATGTCAAAGCCCAGGAAATCATGCTGAAGCAAGCAGTGGTTTTGCTCCTGTCTGGTATCTCATCGGGCCACCGGCTAACACTGGCAAAAGAGCTGATTTAATCTGGCTTGTTGCTGGCACACAGGCGTGCAGGGAGCTGCCAGCATCTCTGTGGCAGGTTTGGGGGTGCATTTTGCCTCTGTTCTACTGAGGCTGTGGTTCTTTTCCCCAGGCTTCTCCCCGGAATCCCATGTCAAGCCCCTTTGACCTCCAGATGAAATTTGTGTGTGGCCAGTGCTGGATGAACGGGCAGCTGGTGGAGCCAGATAAAGACCTCAAGTACTGTAGTGCCAAAGCCCCCCACTGGTGAGCAATTCAACCTTCTCTTTCCTCTACCCCTCTTCAAGGGCAGGAATTTTTCATCCTACCTTCTCCACGGCTTCATTTGGCATCTTTGGAAGAGGCTGTAAGGTTTCCTAGCAGCCTCTCACTACTCAGGGTGTTTGTCACTATAGCAGGCATTGCAGATAGCTGTTTTCCAGCTTCCTTCTCTCTTTACTGTGTGTATTTGTTGCCAACATTGTGCAGACTGTTACTCCTGGCAGAGGCAGTCCACATCCCACAATTCCCTTTTCTCCCAGTTCCTATAATTTCTTTTTACCAAGGCCACTAACAGAGTTCTCCTCCACATGTATTTATGCACTTAGCAGTTTGCAGATGTCTGTCAGGTCACAATTAGAAATCATTCAAGATACCCTGCTTCCTTTTAAATTAGTTTCCCTTGGCTCTTTCATTGCTTTGGTTGCTCCTCTATGATGGATCTTACGTCTGTTTGCACCTCTTGACTCCTTGGGGCCCATGAGAATGTTTGGTGTGATAGAGGCATTGAATCCTAGAACAGTTTGGATTGGGAGAGACCTTTAAAGGTCATCTAATCCAGCCATCCTGCAATGAGCAGGCACATCTTCAACTAGATCAGGTTGCTCAGCCTGACCTTGAATGTTTCCAGGAATGAGGCATCCACTGCCTCTCTGGGTTGTGCCAGTGTTTCAACACCCTCATCATAAAAAATTCCTTCCTTACGTCTTGTCTGAATCTACCCTCTTTCAGTTTCAAGACACTACCCCTTGTCCCAACACTACAGGCCCCACTAAAAAAAATTGTCCCCATCTGTCTTATAAGCCCCCTAGAAGGGAAATATTGGCTGGTAAGTCACTGTTTGGTCATGGAAACTGTGGCCTGTGTCACCTAGGCAGCATGCAGGGATAGGATGGAAGGGTTGATAGAACTTGTCTTCCCATAACACAGACCACAAAGGCACAGTCCAGCTTAATATTGTAAATATAAAACTTTTGTTAAGAAGAGACAGAAGCAGCAGTTTCTGGAGGAAGTAAGTGGCTGAGGATTGCTTCCTCGGATGTGAAAAATAACACCTCTTTGTGCAGCTGCTGAATAGAGCTGGAGTTTTTGCTCAGGGTATCTCCTGGTGATCCCTTGCTGGAGCTCAAGGAGAAGAAATACTTCCTGGCACTGTTCATAAGGTAGTGCTTGTAATGACTTGCATTTCTATTGCACCTTTCAAGCAGAAAATATTCCCAAGTGTTCTTCATGGATCTGATTGCACAAGAATAGGCTGTGTCAAAGGAATGCAGCTGTTTAATAATCCGTGGTGATGCCATGAGAGATTTGGGGGAGACTTTTGTGGCTTTATGAAAGGAGGTACCCCACGAAATAGGTAATATTTACAGGGAGAAGTCCTCCTAAAGCAGCCTTCTTGTGGCTTCTCCATCACAGATGTGCATGTCTAGGAACAGCCAGATAGTGCAGGAACAAGCTGGACAGGAGGATCTGCTCATCTCTCAGTATTTAAGGGTCTCTGAGGTAAAGAACATTTGTTCTGCTCTTTCTTGTGTCTCTCTTGATTTATTCTCTCTTCTTCAGCTGGACGAAGGAACGCCGTGTCCTACTGGTGATGTCCAAAGCTAAGAAGAAGTGGGTGTCAGTCCGACCACTGCCTTCCATCCGGAACTTCCCACAGCAATATGATGTAAGCCCCACGCCTGCCATGGCCAGGTGCCCCATCCCTTTCCCTTTCCCTTCCACCACGGTGCAGTGTTTTGAGGGCTGCTCCCTTGAAGATTTGTCAGGGAAGCAAGCACATGATGGCTGAGATGGGAGGTGAGGACAGACTGATGGCAGAAAAATACATCCAGCAGAAAGATGGAGCAGAAGAAGGAGCAGTGCCCATTTAAACCACTCTGTGCACAAATGCAAGTTTCCAGTGTTGCTGTTAATGCATAACAAAAGCTGTTAATGCATCTCTGGCTGGCACAGGGTTTGGGAATGAAATTTAAGACTCCCCTTAGGTCAGGGTTTCTCAATGTGGGTGAGAGGCAAGATGTTTAGGAGAAGCCTATCCCTGCCTTTGCTGTGACTGTGCTATAGATTGTGAAACTTGCTCACAATGGGTTTTGAAAGCAAAACTAAGAACTCAGCTAAAAAGCCACGTGCTGAGGAAAATTACAGATATCCAGCCTCCAACCCCAGCCCCAAATGTCAATATAGTTTCTCTCTCCCTCTCCTTTCTTTTTTCTCTGGAAGGAGAAAGCTCCTTCCCCCTACCCTATGGTAGGTCTTCCTTTTGTGCCAGGATAGGGGGAGAAAAGATGATGAGTAAATATGATGTTTAGAAAGTTTCACATTTTCTCTGGCAATGATGCTGTTGGTAGCTGTGTGTGCACCAGTGTGGTCTAAGCAATCTGTGAGGCCACTCTTCACTCACTCAGAGAAGGTGGGGAATGAGTCACCCTTGGGGACCAGCAGCTTCATCAGTAGGAAACACTATTGGGTCAATCCAGGATGCTCCTGCTGTTGGCCTGTATCTGCACCCAGTCACCTATGGAAATGGCAGCAGCTGCTGAACTGCCTGTGTGTTTATGTCATCAGGAGACTTTGGAAAAGAATCATGAGTTAATGATATATAAAGTGTCCTGTTTGCAACCTCTCCTGTGCAATTTAATGCCCCAGCTGGTTATCAAACCCACTTTCCCCTCTAGCAAGGACTGACTGTGCAGGTGCTAAATTTTTCTCTCTGTCTTTTAACAGTTGTGTATCCATGCACAGAATGGCAGGAGATGCCAGTATGTGGGCAACTGCTCCTTTGCCCATAGCCCTGAGGAGAGAGACTTGTGGACCTTCATGAAGGAAAATAAAAGTAAGTGCGGGGGGGGGGGCGGAAATTAGAAATTAAAAGGGGGGGGGGGGGAATGTGGACCAAAGAGTTTGGGGAGAGGGAAGAGGACATCTGGGCATCTGGAGGGTCTGTTAAGACATATTCTTGACAACAGAGATGGAGCTGCTGCCATGAGTTTATGTGGGATTGTGTGTCAGGTCTGTCTACAGCTGCTCTTTTCATAAATGGGCATGTATCTCTTGAGTCCCTTGCTGTGGGACTAGTGCACAATAGTTTTATGTCTTACATTGCTTCACTGCTGCCCTCTCTTTCTGCATCACTTTTGAATCCACCCTGTACTGTCCTTCCAGTTGCCTGTAATGTCCCAGGCCTGGCTCTATATGGAGCTCTGCCAAAGCACCAGTCCTGGCCCGTAGCTGCTCCTGTATCTTTCTTGTCTATCTGCCTTGGCTGTCTTACTTATTTCTGCTCATATTCCTTGGTCTTGGGCTGTGGCACTCCCTGCTCGTGGCATTGTATTCAAAGGGGTGGAGTTGAGATCCTGAATGAGAACATCACTGGGTGGTGCCTTTGTGGAGAAACTAGTCTATATTTAATTCTGCAGGCTTACCTTTTGGGCAATAGTTGCAGGGGGGTGCCCATATCCTGGACAGCCAGCTCTGTGGCAGAAATCCTTGTTTATTCAGATCAACAGGAGGCTGGGGGAAAAAGGCCAGCTATCCAGGTGCTCATCTACCTCTGTTGGAGCTGCTGGAAAGCCTGAAGGATTTCAGGCCTGCCCTGAGTTTTTTTTGGTTCTGTGGAGGGTCCTTCTCTCTGCTGAGCCAAACTGTTACTTGTTGCAGTTCAAAGCATTTCATTGCTGGAGCCTTTAAAGCACATCAGTCTGTGTGTGTTTTGCTCAAGCACAAAGGTGAATCTTCAAACAACAGCATTGTCTCAGATTGGGGGAATTTGCATTCATTATCCCCAGTTACCTCAAGTTCCTCAATCACTCATTTAGCAAGGAGTAAATCACTAATGCATCACACTTAGAGCATCATATTGATATCTGCAAACATAAATGTTTCCATAGCCTCTCTCAGGAGCTGATCTTGCAAAGACAGATGTCTAGTTAAAGCTTCCACCTCAAATTTCCCTTCCCAGAAGTATGTTGAATGGCTTTTAAATCAAAAACCATGAGAGACATTGACTGCAGTTCTCTGGACAGGTTTTGAACTTAGAGCAAGCTATCATTAGGTCTTCCTCCCTTCTGCAGTGCTTCCTGTGGCCAACTTGCTTAGGAGCTCTCCTCCCTCTCTAGTGCTGAGGATGAAGCTTGGGCTTAGAGGGAAGACATGGATCTGAAACCAGCCATGCCTTAGCTTCCTGATTGGATGAGATGTCTCCTGACGTTAAGTAGAATCAGGCCTCTTGGAGAATCATCTTGTAGGGTGAATTCCAATGAGATCTTGCAGCACTTTGCCATCTTTCTGAAAAGTTTGTGTGGCTGTTGTCACAGTTGCCCCTGGACTGATAGAAGACCCCCCCTGCCCCGTGCCATGTGGTGTGCTGTGAATGTGGCTCCTCTCCCCAGGGGTCCTGTCTGAGGAGGTGACATGGGGCACAGCCCTTCAGTCTGGTGCTGCTGCACAGGCGAGGGGAGGGAAGGGCTGCCCCAGCATTTGCCCTTTTCTCATAGCTTGTGCACCAAGTGGGAGGTTGTTGAGTGGTTTCATGTGTCACCTTTGTGCAGTACTCGATATGCAGCAGACCTATGACATGTGGCTAAAGAAACACAATCCTGGGAAGCCTGGAGAAGGAACACCACTCACCTCGCGAGAAGGGGAGAAACAGATCCAGATGCCCACTGACTATGCGGACATCATGGTAATAAGCGACCTCTTGTCCTTCATTCCTCCTCCTCCTCCTCGTCCTCCTCAGTGCTGCCAGCCTGCCTCTCTCCTGTGCTCCAGGTGTGGCTAGCAGGGACTGCATTTCTCTAGTGGAACAGAGCCTGTATTAACACAGGTTAAATGGACAGCAGGGGCAGCACAGCTGAAGTGGGAAGAGATCGACCTGGGGTCAGCAAGGCTCTACAATGGCTTTTCTGTTAATCCCCAAGTCATTAGGGGTTTACCTTAGGTTCCCTTTTGTGTGAGCTCAGCCTCTCTCCAGGGTTCCTGCCTGCTCCTAGGCAAGCTGGCAAAACCATTGCAGGCCTGTCAGAAGAGGGAGAAACTTGGAGAATAGCTGTCACAGAAGCCTTGAAAAACTAGAGGCAGATGTGTTTCCTTATGCCATGGGTGGTACTGATGTAAGGGTGTGTGCTGCTGAAGAGTCCTGCATGAACTGAGCTGCCCTTTCCCCTAAGCCTGTTTGAGCCATAGATAAACTCTGACAGAGCATCTCCTCTGTTCCCCTTTAGTGTCAGCACAGTTCCTCAAAGACAATATGGCAGAGAAGTGTGGATAGTCATAGACTGAGTGGAGCGTTCCAAAATGCTCTGGAAGAAGAGAGGGAGAGGCAGTGCCAGCATAGGGAATGCCAATGGACATGAATGTTATTGCACTGACTGGCCTTTTTCCCTGTGTGCACTGTTTAGATGGGCTACCACTGCTGGCTCTGTGGGAAAAACAGCAACAGCAAGAAGCAATGGCAGCAGCACATCCAGTCGGAGAAGCACAAGGAGAAGGTCTTCACCTCAGACAGTGACTCCAGCTGCTGGAGCTACCGCTTCCCCATGGGCGAATTCCGGCTCTGCGAGAGGTACCATTGTCTCACCTCCCTCCTGTGCTGCTGCTGCAGGGACAGGGTAACAGGCCCAGGGCCTCAGTCATCCCTCCTCATCCTCTCACAGAGTTCTTGGTGATTTCTGCATGGAGGAGGAGTGGGATGAGATGACAGGTTTGGGTGACAGTGAGGCTGCTGTTTGATCACAGAGGTACTCAGCCACAATACTGAGGGATAAAAACACATTCCTGAGCATGTGTCTTTAGAAAAGGAGAGCTTCCTGTCTGCACCTGTGCTCTTCATAGCCAGGATGCTCTCTGCTCTCAGGTTGCTGAACAGTCTCCTTGGCCCAGTGCTTGGGGGAATCCCAGGTGCCTTATTAAATGGTTTGAATGTATCACGCCCTCTGAATCAGCACCTTAAGGTGCCTTCAGAAAGCTTGTGATGGTTAAAAATGCCACTTTGGTTAGCAAGAAGGTTCTTGTCTTTCATGTTGGTTACCTGGCATTTCCTCTCTTGTGCATTATTTTTTTCTCATCCCTGCTGGTCCAGTTCCAGCTCACATTTTTTTGTGCTCTTGACTAAATCCCCTTGTAGCCACTGCTGGTTTTGCTGCTGTTTTTTTCCCAGCCTTGATGTCTTTCCCACCTGCACATGGGTTTGTAGGACAATCAGCTCACCCTAAAAAGGAGAGTTCACAGCATGTTTCAGTGGGTCCTGCTCAAGTATCCCAGACAGAGAGCTCCAACCCCTGTACTGGGGGTGCCCTCCTGACTGTGCTCCTTGTGCTGGCAGGTTCCAGAAGAACAAGGCCTGTCCTGAGGGAGAGGAGTGTCGCTACGCCCATGGGCAGGACGAGCTGACCGAGTGGCTGGACCGGAGGGAAGTGCTGAAACAGAAACTGGCCAAAGCTCGCAAGGACATGCTGCTCTGCCCCAGGGATGACGACTTCGGGAAATACAACTTCCTATTGCGGGATGATGTATAGTGTGAGCCGGGGGGAGTCTGTCAGCTGCAGAAACACGGGGTGGGTTTTCCGAGGGGCAGTAGCAGGGAGAGCGAGATCTGTGTCTCGCAATGAGAACCTTTTCTTTTCTTTTGTTTTAAGATTATGAGACAATGATTTATTAGTGAATGGATTTGTGAATTTAATTCTCGTTGGCCAGCGACGCCACGCTCACTGAGTTTGTGATCCATCTTTTCTCTCTTCTTTCCCCCAAATTCCCCTTCCACTTCATCTTTTTGTTTTCACTGTCCTTCATTCAAAGGAATTAATTCAGTCTGTATTGGGCTGCAAATCAGAGAATTTCTCCTTGTGTCATTCTTCTGTCTTTCAATTCAGAGTATGACTGCAGAAGTCTGGAGGACAAAGCTGAGAGAGGGGGACAGAAAAGTTGTGGATGCCCCATCCCTGGAACTGTTCAAGGCCAGGTTGGATAGAGCTCTGAGCAATGTGGTCTAGAAGGTGTCCTTCTAAATGACAGGGGGATTGAAACTAAATGATCTTAAGGTCCCTTCCAGCCCAGACTGTTCTATGATTTTATGAAATCTGGTTAAAAGGAGGTGACCAGGATTTCATATGTTCCTTTTCTCAGTGCTGCAGACTAAGCGCCACTTACTCTGCTGCAGCCCTTCTGCTCTCCTGGGAGTTTGAAAGAAAATAGAAAGAAATAGAAATTGTTTGAAAGAAATAGAAATTGTGGTGCAAAGAAGGAAAACCACTAGATTTGGCTTAAGAGATCTAGGCTTATGCTCTAGCTGTCTGTATTGCCCTGAGGCATCAGCTGGTGCTCAGGAGGATAACAGCTGTGTGGTATAAGGAGTGCAAGGTAAAAGCAGCAAAGTAATGAAACTGCTTGCAGCAGCGGGAACCAGGTTGTAGGTGACTTCAAACTTCAGCTGACTGTACTCAGAAAGCAAGTTGGTGACTTCTCATTAGATATCTTTTTCAGTGTGTGGCAGGTATTCAGGGCAGATAGCTTGGGTTTGTTTTTTTTGGCTGGTGTGACTGGTGCAAGTAAAACAGAACCCATGTAGGAGGTGTAGTGGAGTCTGTGACACACCGTGTGTCACTGAAGTCCACACAGCAGTATCAGTCAGGAGGGAGGTGGTCACCAAAAGGAGCCTGTGTTTCTGTGTTGCCTTGTGTCCTGAATAAAGGCAGGGAGGGAGGTAATGGTGTTCTTTCTTACTCTTTAAATGGCATGTGTTTCTGGTTACTTAGAGCTGCATTTTTCCCTGCAGTGCCAGAAGAACTGGGTGGGGACCCATTTAAAAGGCCACCATTGCGCAGCACAGGCGAAGTTAAGCTAATGGGAATCCAGCTGGAAGTGCTTACCAGTACCAGAGGTCCAGCTCCCTCCTCCTCAGAGTCAGAGCAGGGAGCTTGTGGATGCACAGTGCAACAGGATGTGACCCAGAGCAGGGACAGTGGTGGAAAATGAGTGGGACCCAGCCATGGCCTGCTCTTGTGCTGCCTCATGTGTGCTTTGATGAGGTAATCAGTAATGCTGAACTCTGGACAGAGGTTTTGCTTTTATAAGGGGCAGCAGTGAGAAGCAGTACTGCTCTGCATGCCAGCCTTGTCCTTTCTGGCAGTCTCATCCTGTAAGCAGTAAATGTGTTCCCTGTTCTGAGTTTTCCTCTCCTTCTCTCTTCTGCAGTCCAGCTGTGCTCTGCAGTTTTGCATGCATGGATGGCACCATCCAGTCAAATACAAACACATCTCTCTCCCAGCCTTCATCAGGGATGTCTTTTTCATACAGATTCTCCTGGGACAGCAGTCTCAGAGCCCTTGGGGCTGGCAGGGCTGTATCCATGGTAAATACAATCTGGCCGTGAACTGCTTGGTGTTTTGGCATTGCTGCATTCACCCATTCCTCTCTGCTCCCATATCCTTGGGGTTCAGAGCTTCAGGAGAGATGGGATGAGGAAATCGAGAGATGTGGAGATGGTGTGGGGCAGCTGTCATCTTTCTAAACCAGCCTTCAGGAGGGTGCTTCAGCTCCACTGGGATAGTTTGGGTCCAGTTACGGAGCAGAGTGCTGGAATCTCTCCAGAGACACAGCGTGCTGTAAGCAAACTGAATGCACTTCTGCACTTAGAATCATTTAGTTGAAAAAGACCTCAAAGATCATCAAGTCCAGCTGTTAACCTGGCACTGCCAGCTCCCAGACTAAACCATGTCCCAAAGTGCCACATCTACATGTATTTTTAAATACCTCTGGGGATGGGGATTCAGCCTCTTTCCCGGGCAGCTTAACCACTTTTCTGCTGAGCTTTATTTCCTCTCCCTTAAAATATGGATGCTAGTCTCTGGTTTGCTATGAGCAATATCAGACATGGCAGTTTTTGAGTGGTCAGGTGCTGTATTTTCTCCTTTGTTCTTCGTGGTAACTATGGTACCTTCTCCTGGTCATCCTTGTGCTCAAGTGGTCAACTTTACAGATGGGAGGAGACAGGCATCAGCTCCTGGGTTATCTTGCTCTGCTCTTCTTGGCAGAGATGCCAAGGAAGGAAATCTGGCAAGGGGGACACTGAAATGTGGCTTTTATTTTTAAAACAAACCTGCATCTCTAGTGTGACTGGCATTCGCTGAGCCATGATTTCTCATGTAACCTAAACAAGTTACAGAGTGAGTCACTCTCCCCTCTCCCCATCTCTGCAATGAGAGCTGAGCTGCTCAGTGGGGCTTCAGAGGTTCAGGCTGGGGCTGAGATGGGGAGAGGGTGGGGTGAGAGTGAGGAGAGGTGAGGTGAGGTAGGCCCACAGTCATGGGGGTTGCATCAAGTGTCTCTTTGTTTTCCCTGATATGATAACCTGGTCTGTGGTGTTGCAGTACTTCGTCACCAGACCTGTTTTAGTGTGTATATATGTGACCCTTCCCATGAAGCATATATACACAGGTATTAAATATATTGCTCTATATAATATTATATGTGTGTGGTATCGAAGGAATCTTTTAAATGAGGGTAAAGGACTCAAGCTAGGAAACGCAGCATCTCCAGTGTAATTATGAAGCCTATTATTTGAGATAGGGAAAGGGAAATAACAAAAGAGGAGAGGGTTTTATATAGATAGGTATAAGCTTTGAGATGGGACAGGTTTCTCTGTTCACATTTTTGAAACCCTTTAGGATGTCCTTGCAGTCCCATCTCAGTGAGAGAGTATTATACTGCTAACTAGTGAGTAAAGTTTTAATATAAGGCTTTGCTTATATTATTTAAAGGGACATTGTGAAAGGCAGGAAGTTTCACACTTGACTTCTCAGGCTTGCTTTATCAAGCCAAGAGGGTTTTCTTCAGCACATTATATGCTCTCAGCAGAAATGCTCAGTGCTCGCAGCTCTACAGCAGATAAACCACGAGTTGTAGAGGCTGCTTTAGTGGTGTGTTTACAAGACCCTGTGATAACTCTCTTCTTTATTTGTGTGAGAGAGGAAGAAGAAAATTCTTCAGCAAAGAATCAAATTTGAGAGTTTTTAACAAAGGAAGTGATGTTTTAATTTTATAACATTAGAAGAAAATCTCATATCCTGTAAAATAACTACAGACATTCACACAGAGCAGAAGCTTATTAAATGCTGAAGGACTTAGTGAAAATCTTTTCCCAAATTCTTTGGTAGGGGCAGGGATTTAAATGACACTGGCATTGGCGTTAACCAGGCCTTTACAGGGAGAAGTAAAAAAAAAACAACACAAACCAACAACCAACAAAAAATACCCTACTTAGCTTGTATGAAACTGTATGTCAAAAATTGATGGGTTTTAGCAAGTGAAAGGAAAAGATAGCAAGGGGATGCTGCAGTTCTGAGCTGGGTAGTAATGATTTTGAGTCCTTTAATATGTCTTCATATTAATATAATTTAAGAATACCACGCTTTACTATTAAAAAAAGAACTTAGTATCTTTCATAAGGTCTAGTATAAGGATAAATATGTAGATGTTTTAACAACATTTTTGTTTTTGTTCTTAAATAAAGAAAGAAAAACCAAACTTGCTTCTTTTAGCCTTTGTAATAGAAAATAAAAGTGTGCACTTTAAACCCTCTCCTGGTCCAGAGTGTGTTTGTGTTTTTCATACAGCCTGCACAGGATTTTATCTTGCTTTCGGGTTTCCCTGCTGAGGAGGGAAGCAAAGGGAGCACGTCAAGCATTGGACCACTGTGGCTTTCTCCCATCTTTAAGTATAATCTGCTACTCTTCTTGCTGAGTGGAAAATTACCTATGTGCATAATAACAGTTGATGATCATCAGACACACAGTTCTAGTGAACTTTAGGTGTATTTAAGATGTTTTTCTTGCTCCCTAGTGCCAAGAATCCATGTGCTGTGCATTAACACATAGTTTCAGGTGTTTGGGTAACCTCTGTTTTGAAACCTCCAGTGATAGGGTAAACACCTTCATCTAGAGGTTCTTCTGTGTAGGCTGCTCTGTTCAACTGGGTTGGCCAGTTCTTTTGCCTGGCAGTGTGCACCCTGCTAGGGAACATGTCCGTAGCCCTACTCACCAACTTGCACACAGCTTGGGCTAAGGGAAGCATCTGTGCCCTTACTTTCCTCCTAGAGAGGATGCTGTGTGAGGAAACTGCACTGGGGAAAGAGGTCACTGTGAAAACATTTATTAATAACCCCAGCTTCTTTATTTTTTGAATCCATCACGATGCAGATCAATCTAGATTCTTGATAAAATCAAAACTGGAGATGTGAAGACACGGGAGTCCCATAGATATGCCCTGTTACTGCTGTATAAACTGGTAGTGACCAGAAGGTCATATCCAGTGAGGCCTGAAGAGACAAAATTTGTCACACTTCTCCTTGATGTGCCTTCAGACATAAGAACTCATGTCCTTCTGGCCAAAGAAGAGGCCTGAACACATTCTTGTAGTGCAGAGGGAATGAGGAGCTGTGTGCACTTCCAAGGTGCATCAATTAAATACATACAATGTGAGAGACATTAGTTTTACATTCCAAAGATTGTTGAGGCCATGCTGACAAGAGCTGAGGGTAGCTTTTCCAGTACAATTGAAACCAAAATTGTCAAACTGTGAGAAAGACAAAGCATCAGGAGAAGAGCACCTGTTTTCCTTGTGGGTTTGAGCCTCAGCTGTAAACCATATTTCTTCACTGAAATAAACTTGTATTTTGGAGAGGAAGAAAAGGAGTCGTAATTTCAATAATCAGATCTTCCTAGGAACTTCAGCAGATACAAAGACAAGGCAGAAGAGACCCAGATCAGTCAGGAAAAATCCAGGTTCTGTGGAAGATTGAGAGGAGCAAGGTAGAAACCCCTGAGAGGTGGGAGGAAGACTTCTCATTGAAGATGGTTAATGCCATCACACAGCAGCCTGGCAGAAGGGGTTTGCTGCAGATGAGAATCCTAAGCAATCCTGTAATGAAGTCTGCCTACTGCACTAGAGAGAAATATTTCTGGGCAGTGACAGCAGATGATGCAAATGCTGTCATCCCCTTCATTGTGTTTGCTGCTGCCATTGCCACCAGGAACAGGGTCGTGTTGTGTAGTGTCCTGTGCACAGTGAGCAGCAGACAGTTCCTGCCATGTATGAGCTGGGGAGGTGTGTTGGTCACTGGCTGGGCACAGAGGATGTAACTACCTAGGGCAGCTGGGGGGAAAAACATGGGCCAGAAAG